ATCTATCTGTTATTTCACTGAAAATATTATTAAAAGCTTCAAGTAGAGGAATGTTGGTAAATAGGGAAGACACATCTTTCGACGTCATTTTGATCCGTTCGGGCATAAGGGTTTTCAAATTAAATTTTGACGTCAGCTTTATTAACCGTTTCCTAAAGTGATAAACTTAAGGCCTAGTGACAATGCTCTTAACTCAGTCTTATTGAGATTAACTATGGTGAGTTCGCATACGCACTGAACTAGGTTAGATGGAAAATTTATTTCTGGAACCTGTTAGCTTAGATTTTTCTTAAGTCTCATACGTTTGTTTTCTTTACTTGTATCAACCGCCAGCTTAATATAGTCCGAAAATATAACAGAAAGATCGTTCACAGCATAAATTCTCTTATCGACATTTTTTAGCATCGTAGTAATAAATGAATCTAGAGATTCGATTTGATTTGATGCATAACTTTTGAGAGTCTTCCTATTTGGCCGAACTCTGGAGCAACGTGAAAATTTCCGGGATGCTTTAGAATGCAAGTTGGTCTCCATGATCCTCTTCATTAAATCAGCACTACTTCCCTTTGTGAGTCTTGCTATGTACTTCAGGTACTCGTTGAGAACCTTTGGTGCACACGTTTGTTCAAAACATTTCAATATGAGGAAACGTTTTAGAGGTGTTGAGACAGGTCACTTAGTAAACAGAAATGGATTTATATCATTGCAACCCATATTACAGGCTGAATCGAAGTTTAATTAACCTTCTTGACATTAACCCTGGCTTCATCTGTATGGTGCTCCTCGCTATTGTCGTTGTTTGACCTCTGTTTTTTATCAGTTAACTTGGCATCTGGCTCATTTGCTTGTTGAATCACACGCCTTGAAGTTGGTGACAATCCCGACTTAAGTTTGGGTGATAACATAAGTTTCCTGATTTGTTCTTTTTTGGAACATAAACCGGTGTGCTCCAGATTTTACCTTAGTTTTTTGATTAAATTTGAAAAAGCCTCCTGTTGTCTCTTACTTTCATTCTGGACCCGTTTTTCGATCTCATGTATGGTTGACGATCTGAGCTGTTTGATGGGGCCCACCACATGCACCAGGCAATCCTCTTTGTCTTCCTTGTTCTGTTCAATGTATCCTGCTGCATGGATTATGCGGCGGCTGTGTGATATTTTCTCAAAAGACCTACTGGCTAGTGCACTTCATTTTATCCCCGTGCCTGTTAATTAGTACGTGGTGGTATTGGTCTTAACCATACAATCCTCAAAGTTGAACCTGCGACAACTGAGAAAATAGACTTTTAAAATGTACCACGGAGAAAACCCCAACAAAAGTGAACGAAGGAACATTCGTTCGAGAACCAATCGGATGGTATGACTCAGCCTCGCAGGCGTGGTCGTTCTTGTTCTATTCATATTAAATAAATTGTCCTATCTCCAGTCTAAATGTTTTCTTTAGGAAAGCCAAACATATTGCCGATAGTTGAGATACGACGAGTCAGTGTAGACAATGATGGGACCTCCACGTAAGATCTCATAGATTAGGTAGTTACGTCATGACACATATAGAATTTTAGGACTGGGTCTATCATTAGAGCAGTACTAATTTCGAAGTAGACCATAATTCTGCATCACTAAGTCTGACTATTGAAATGTACATGTATCGCAGGAGATTGTATGTATATATCGGATGGTGATTGTCTTTTTAATTGAGGTCCTTTCATTTAGCGCTTGATTCATGTGTGTACGATTATGCGTAATTCAGGGTTTTCAACGAGCTTTTTGTTAAATTTAAGGATTTATGGCCTACTACCAGCCTCTGAGTTAAGGCCTCGGTTAATCTTAGGAGCTGATAGAATTGGTAGTACTGTGCTTGATATTCGATGAGTGAAAAGGTGTTCAAAACGACGGGGCTCATCGCACAGTGGCTTAGACTTGGTTTGAAAATTATCGCGAATTTTGATTTTGTGGTTTATCTGCGTGAAAGGATAAATATGTTTATGTTTTTGGGCTGCTGTTTACCACGAATTTATTATCAAATACTGGTGATCTAGAGATCACTATTGTTATTATTGAACAGTCTGAGAAGTTGCGTCACATTCAAGCGGTGCACTGCAAAAATAACTGAGTTTTTTCTGCTTTCGTCATCGACTATGTATGTTCGAGATCCAGTGATAGGATAAACGCTTGTCACCTGGTAGGCTTGTAGGGGTGCATGTGTCACGGTTCTGAGACGTTCATTTTTGTCCAGAAAAAAACTTTTGCATATAAAAAGTTTGGAAGCACAAAGGAGACTCTTCTCATACGTCAGCGTACTGTAGTTTTGGCCAGTCGTTACATGTGGTATATTCAGTTTGGCCTCATAAACGGTCATTGGAAAGAACAGAGAACTTCTGAAGTACTTGTAGTGACTCTTTTATCACGAGAACACGATTGGTTTATTGAAAACAATTATTATTATAACCAATTGTACCAGTGCTTGATTTAATGTGCTCTTTGTTTAACTGTTCTATAAACATCTGTTATTCTTACACTTTGATTGTGACTTCGCGCGAATTCGGTTACGTTCTGTAACCAAGCTTGTATCCTGGGATGATCTCGGTATCCCTTCGATACCACGAGATCACCAGCAAATATATCTCGACTTACTCCATTAAATGCCTTCTGATATTTCGTTTCCTGCGGATTTATTTGGCACGTGTTTCTCTGTAGCGATGTTTATAGTCAATTGGGACTCGACGCCACGCTACACACCTATCACTTTCTTGAATGACAGGAAAAATATGAGCTAAACCTGAAGTCAGAGAGATTGATAAGGTTAGAGAGATTAATAAGGTCAGCGAGACGTAGATTTTGATCGTATTCGATGTAAATGATAGTCTCATTCACCTAGTTAGTTTTTACTCTCATTCAACGAAGACTTGACATCCGTTGACTCCCTAGACTGACCTTCAGCCTGAAGACTGAGGGGTATTTTTTATCTAAGTACACTCGGAGTACAGATACAATCCTAATAGAATGATGATTTATTTCAGAAATCAAATCCTTAGAATAAAATAAAACAGATTACAATCGAGCTGCGGTGTGCATAGGAGTCTCGCACTTACTCAACCATTCCCTTTTAACCATTCTCGACTCCGACGGATGGTAATAAACAGCTCAATATACCATGACCGATTTATAAGGTTGAAATACTTCTAGCAGGATAGGTTGCTTCATCCGGGGTCTGGTGTTATTTCAATAACATCACTGGCATGCTAGAAAATTAGGCGTTTTTCTTAATCAAAACCAACTTACCTCCCTTTGAAAAGCCGTGATTAAGGTGACAAGTTGTTAAACCAAGATTTTTAGGCAACAGAAAGGAAATTTCACCCAAGGATTGTGATATGGTCAACCATATATTTCTTATCAATAAGTTCAAACAACTGGGTATTAAATCACCTCTAATCGATTGGCTCGCTTCATACCTGAAAAATCGACATTTTAAAGTCAGGGTTAATTTCACTTTATCTCAGGCCACGGAATGTCCTAGTGGGGTCCCCCAGGGCTCGGTACTAGGGTCTTTTCTCTTCTTGATTTACATAAATGATCTTCCTCAACAGGTAACGTCAGACTTATTACTTTCTGCCGACGACGTGAAACTTTGGAGAGAGATACGCAACCAAGACGATATAAAGGCACTTCAGGAGGATCTGACTCGACTTCGAAGCTGGACAGACGATAACGGACTTACCTTTAACACTTCAAAGTGTAAAGTAGTCCATCTGCGACATGTCGCAGACTACAGTCATAATTTAGGATACTCCTCTCTGGTAGTATCCCAAGTCGAAAAAGATTTAGGAGTTCTGGTGCCCTACGATTTAAAGTCTTATGCTAACTGTGACAAAAATGTCTTCCGAGCAAACCTTGCACCGGTAACATTGAAGCGCATTTTTGGCCAGTTTGACGGAAGAATTTTACATATAATCTTCATTATAGTTTTATCTGTCCCCATTTAGAATATGGAAACATAGTATTTTCTCCCTCACTCCAAAAGGACAACGACACTCTGGAGTGTGTCCAACGGCAAGCCACGAAATCAATTCGGGGACTCAAATTCAAGCCACATGAAGAACACCTCCAAACACTAAACCTTAACTCATTAGAGTATAGGCGTCTTAGAGGTGACTCTCTAATGGCTTATAGTATCCTTAACACCTCTGAACATTCCCTTAAACACCTACTTAAGTTTAGCTCTAACACGAACCTAAGAGTTAACACCCAGAGATTAGAGACACAACACAGCAGAACGGATTGTGAGATGGTGGAGAAGATTTGTAGCTCAGGTGGATGATTTTGATGGAGTTTTGTTCTCTGAGCTGGAGGGTTTGGTCGTGGAGCTTTCATCGTTCTTCTGAATGACATCATCAGCACAAACTTCAGATAGAAGTCTATCTGAAGAACGGATTGTAGATAGCGCTTCTACTCCTTAAGGGTTGTCAAATGATGGAATTCACTTCTGACTGAGCCAGTCCAAGCGGCTTCCTAGGAGTCCTCTAAGAGAAAAATTGACCTGATCTTGAGGAGCAAGGACAAAATCTTTCTATGATTTACCGATTTTTTCTCTGTTGTCGTTAAAATACATAGGTTACTGCCAGGAGGTATTGGTGATCCCCTGCTACTAGACACGGAAGCCTGTTAAGTGAAAGCTTCTTCTACTCCGTCCACAACCATTTTAACCATTCATTTCAAGTAGGTATCATCACCAAGGTTTGATTTGATGATTTCGAATAAATTGACCATTGGCTAGATTGTTATAAATAAATAGTATATTTGTAATATACCAATGAGTAGAAAGATTAGATTTTCTGAAGTGAATGTAAGTCATTTCTTCAGAGAAGTGGTTTACACTAAGACACGAAACGTCAGAAAACCTTATTTTTCCACTCATTGGGATATTACAAATATATTATTTATTTGTCCTTCATTTCAAGGTTATTTCATTGCACCTTGACGATTGTTTAAATTTTGTTTCTTGAGTGGCTGAAGGTCCGTAGCTTTGTAGTTAGGTGCAGTGGTCTTAGGCTAAACAGTCACTCTACGTATAAAATTTAGAAAAATATATAGCACTCTTAGTCCTTGTGGTATTTATACAGATTGAATAAGTCTGGTGACTGTTGATAAATGCTTTCTTAGTCATGTCGAAACTATATTTGAAAGCCAATATTAAATCTTAAGTTTCAAACACTGCCGCTATTATTTTCGCTCTTGTTTCCGCCTTTTTATTTTTCTTACGTTGGTGTAAAGTATATTAACCTAGATTTGTGCCTATTTATATGGTTTGTTGCAGATTCCTTGTCCTAAGCATTTATTTATTTGTCATGTACTTATAGATTGCGTACTATCTGAATGTCCAGGTGTCTTGCATTTCATAATGTATATAAAGTCGTTGGTTATTGATGGCTTCAAATCCTATTGTCAGAGAACGGAAATCGATGGGTTTGATCCGCAGTTCAATGCTATTACCGGTCTAAATGGCTCCGGAAAGTCAAATATATTAGATGCTATATGCTTCTTACTTGGAATAACAAATCTATCGCATGTAGGTTGGTTGTCTTTCTTGATAAGTTGATTATAGGTAAGGGCAGCAAACCTACATGATTTGGTTTACAAATGTGGTCAAGCAGGAATAAACAAGGCTACCGTAAGCGCAGTATTTGACAATATGGATAAGTCACAATCCCCATATGGTTATGAGCAGTTTGATGAGCTTACAATCACAAAGCAGATTGTCGTTGGAGGCAGAAATAAATATCTGATTAACGGAACAAACGCAACCACCACAAGGGTTCATGATTTATTTCACTCAGTGCAACTTAATGTTAATAATCCTCACTTTCTAATTATGCAAGGTAGGATTACAAAAATTTTAAATATGAAACCACCGGAGGTAAGCCAAATAAGTGTTATGGAGTATTTAAATATGTACTTTAGATCCTATCATTATTAGAAGAAGCAGCAAGCACCAAACTATATGAAAATAAAAAGGAAGCAGCACTTAAAACTATTGAAAAGAAAGATAGTAAATTAAGAGAAATAGATAGAGTGGGCTTTTTTTACTTACTACTATGTCGCTTTTTATAGATTCTTACTGAAGATATTAACCCTACTATCAAGAAGTTACGTGAAGAACGGAGCAGTTATTTAGAGTATCAGAAAGTTGTACGTGAAATTAATCATCTGGAGAAGTTTATTGTCGCTTATGACTATACTTGCTTAGAGGTTAGTGGACTATCAGTTATCGGCTAATATACACCTGGCTTTTAGGAAGCTAAAAAACGAACAAAAGGAGATTTAATTACACTTGAACGTTCGTTGGATGAGCTAAAAAATAATATGGAAGAAGTAACTTAACCGTATTGGTTCTATTTAGTCCGTTTGTCTTTTAGCTTCGGAAGTCAAAAGAAATTATAGAAAGTCGTATTGCTGAACTTTGCAAACAAAGAGATGAGGTAGGCTGTACTGTTTTCTTCTTAAAGCGTTTATCTAAAGCATCAAGGAACAGCACTTGAAGAATTAGAATCTACAATGTCTGCATGTCAAAAAACAGAAGCAGTTGCTAAGGGGGCTTCTCAAAGAGCGTCTGAATCTCTTCGGGCCGCCAAACAACGTGTTAAGTCCATGGAGTCACAGTGTATGGAGCTTGATGAGCAGTTGTCTTCTAAACATAAAGCAGCGGAAGCTGCTGCTGGTATTGAGTACCAGTCCGTCCTAGCACAGTCAGAAGAAGCCAAAGTTAAATTTGAAGCGGCTCAAAAGCGTTTACAGGTAAGCATTTACTTCAGATAGTACGTCATAGTACCCATTGAAATTATTTGAATCAACTGTTCCACATTAGCGAGTCACCAATTGTAATGATTAAGCTATCGTGTCCATAAATAGAATAGAATAGTGAATTGGTTATATAAACAGCGACTGTTGATGTAGAATTTAAGCTTAATAAGTGTCTTCGTAAGCTGAGTTTTTGTCATTTTACTGATGGTAATAAAATTGCTTTATTTGTTGGCTACCGTTAGTAATTTGCAGTATCAATTCATTATATTGCAATAAATTCCAATATAATGATCATTTGACTTGATAATGTTCAAAAATTTTTTGAACCATCTGCCGTAAATCTGCTTTGCCATTTTCGACATCTTTTGTCACAACATAGTATATTCGATACATGAATCCAAACGCACTCAGCTTTCGTTTATCTAATGGGCTTACAAGAAGAAAATTATAACAACCACCGTAATATCTTCACTTCAATTCAACAGTAATTATCTTTACAATAATCCGTATACATTTTGTAAAATCACTTCAGTGCATTAGATAGTTAATATACATATGTAGCCAGCTAAAACTGTTATATCTCCAAGACTTCTTTCCCTTTGTTTTCCTCAGGTAATCAGATTGTTTACAATAAGAGCAGATAGTCGTTGTGTCTGTTTGTACCACCTGTGGGATGACTGGTCTTCTAACTGAACAGTGATAACGATCAGTGATTAACGACCAAAAAGCTAGCACTTGTTTGCCCTTTAATTCTTGCCAACTCAATGTCTAATTAGAAGACGAAGTTAGCAGGGACATATCTTTGTTGTAACTCAGTTTGGTTCATCATACTCAAACATATGAGTCCATATACATGAATTATCAAACCACCACATCTCCCAAATAATAAATATTTCCCACACAAGTCATAAATGGCAGTGAGCGGAACAAAGTGTTAAAAACTAATTAGGAGTGGTCAAGGAGCAGTAAGATGTATAACGACAGTTGAGTCTAGTGAAAAATTATTATACAAAAACTGTAGAGATACATTAATCCAGTTATTCAACAATTATATAATAAAAATATATATAACAATAATCCGTAAAACGGCCCCAAAAGTTACAGCTTTCACTAAGTTTATTCTGTTTTGACAAAAGCATCGAAACAGCATAAACATTCCCTGCAATATTTGCAAAGTTGGAAATTAAATGGCCAAAAATTTCAAGCAAACCAGTCATAGTTGACCCCGTTTCTGGGCAGTTCTGCCATTTTTTATACATTTATCAAGCTTTGGGACCTAACTTATGGTTTGTCGTGTACTTAGTCTGTAAATTGGATGGATTAATTAATTAGTCAGCATACATTTTTAAAGACTTATATTATACATTTTTATTTATTACGTGTAAAGGCAGTAAAATCCGGTCTTTCCAGTGGAGAAAATGGTGTTGCAGCTAGCCTTGCTGAACAGGTTAGAGTTGCAGATGGTGAAAAGTGCTCCGCACAAACTGAACTTTCTCAACTGAAAATGCGTCAGAAACATCTACAAAATGAGCTTGCTAAACAAGAAGCCATTGTCGTTAAAACTTTCGGAAATGGGTCAATAGATGGAGAATCTAAAGAAGAAATGAAACAAAAGGAACTTACTGTACATATTGACGAATTAACTAAGAAATTGACACGAGCTGAGGCGGATGATAGGTCTGTTGGTAGCGAATCTGTGTTAAGTGGTAAGTGATGAAGCATTACTCACACATATCGAATGAGATTTGTGTGGCGCATATGTATTTGGTGCCTCCTTGTACCAATATCTATGTGTTAAAAATAAAATATTTGGTGCCTCCAATGAAACTAATGTGTATTGAATTCCGTTTTTAAAAGTGATTTACACCAAATTTCGTTGTTTGAATTGTTAGTGTGATAAACTAATATAATGGGAGTTCAATTTACCGCGCCAAAATTTTTATTTCTCGAAAGGTTGTTTGCATATTATCTGGCTGGCTATTTTATAATTTCATCATTTCAGCACACAAACATTGATACAAAAGCGTCACCGAATACATATGCGCCACACAAGTCACTTGATTTGTACGCGGGTCGGGATACTAATCCAGGTGCTCGAACCGAAGCAGATGGCTTTTTTAGGGAGCCACACCCGGAGCCTTTGACCTAAATGTCTGCTATAACTGTGACGGCAGATTAGAAGACAGCGAATTATTGATCGGGCCAAAGACGCGCAAACACGTAAGACCGGCCTAGGGTTCTGATTGGTCCCGCTTCCTTGTCTAGCCCAGCCAGTCGAGTCCAGAACGCAAGTCTCAGCCTCGGAGATATGAATCACTATATTTCAAACGTACTCTGTTTATACACCAACCAAGCAGACCACATCGTACCATAAAATAGCAAATAACATTGTACAATATTGACTAGTAGGAAAATGACACATGAAATAAATATTGACCAATAAGAAAATGACACCATCTCAATTCCCAGGATAGCGTTAGACTTAACAGAATAATTTTTGGGATATTTTCCCGAATATCCCAACAATGTCTAAACCACAATGCAGTGGAGCAACGTTAAGAGATGCAGTCCCATGGTAGTCGATGACTAACAATAGTGTTTACACGCCATTTGTTCCTTCAGGATCCTGAAGCCCATATGCACCGTTAGTTTGGAATCACGGTTTTCCAATTCCCATAGATGGATCTTCCATATCAACCAACCCGGTTAAAGTGCCGGATATTCGCTTTTCGTCCCCTCAATTTCGTAAACAAGACCGCCGTGAGAAGGCAGTGAGTAGGACTTCTCTGACAGTGGTTATATACACGTGTCCATGTGAGAGCATTTGGAGAGGGAGAGCGGACTGTCCCCGCCTTCAGCCGTACTAGGGCATTGTTTGTACTGCTATCTTTAAATTAGATTGTAAGTGATACCCACAGAAAGTTAAGATAAGTATGGTCGTAATGCTTTGTGAACTAACCGCCTTATTTCTTCATAGACATACATCGGCCACATTTATCTTTAATTAAGTATGCAAAGACTCTCCAACTGTACATTTTGCAGTTATTAAAGTGTAGGCGGTAACAGGTGAAATCCAGGCATGTTCTGTAAGTTGTGATTTTCTATTAGTGTTCGATACTTACTTACTTACTTACGTCTGTTACTCCTCGTGAAGGAGCATAGGCCACTCACCAGCATTCTCCATCCAACCCTGTCCTGGGCAATCCTTTCTAGCTCCGTCCAGTTGTAATTCATCCTTTTCATATCTGCTTCTATAATCCGACGCAATGTGTTCTTTGGCCTTCCTCTTTTTCGCTTCCCTTCAGGATTCCAAGTTAGGGCTTGCCTCGTGATGCAGTTTGACGATTTGCGTAATGTATGTCCTATCCATTTCCATCGTCTTTTCCTAATTTCTTCTTCAGCTGGAAGTTGGTTTGTTCTCTCCCACAGAAGGCTATTGCTGATGGTATCCGGCCAATGGATGTTGAGTATCTTGCGTAGACAGCTATTTATAAATACTTGTACTTTCTTGATTGTGGTTGTTGTAGTTCTCCAAGTTTCAGCTCCATACAGTAGAACTGCCTTGACGTTCGTATTGAAGATTCTCACTTTGATATTGGTTGAAAGTTGTTTTGAGTTCCATATGTTCTTCAATTGTAGGAATGCGACCCTTGCTTTGCCGATCCTCGCCTTTACGTCTGCATCTGAACCTCCTTGTTCATCGATGATGCTTCCTAGGTATGTGAAGGACTCTACATCTTCCAGAGTTTCGCCATCAAGAGTGATTGGATTGCTGTTCTCCGCTTTGAATTTGAGGACCTTGGTTTTCCCTTTGTGTATGCTGAGGCCTACTGATGCAGAGACTGCTGCTACACTGGCTGTCTTCATCTGCATCTGTTCGTGTGTACGTGATAGGAGGGCTAGGTCGTCTGCGAAGTCCAAATCGTCTAATTGATTCTGAGCTGTCCATTGTATTCCGTGTTTTCCTTCAGATGTCGAGGTCTTCATAATCCAGTCGACCACCAGAAGAAAGAGGAAGGGAGAGAGTAAACAGCCTTGTCTGACTCCAGTCCTTACTTGGAATGCATCTGTCAGCTGTCCTCCATGCACTACTTTGCACTGTAGTCCGTCGTATGAGTTCCGGATAATGTTGACAATCTTCTCAGGAACTCCGTAGTGTCGAAGAAGTTTCCATAATGTCCTCCTATCTACACTGTCGAATGCCTTTTCATAATCAATGAAGTTGATGTATAGTGATGAGTTCCACTCAACTGATTGTTCGACGATGATCCGTAGTGTTGCAATTTGGTCTGTGCACGACCGATCCTTACGGAATCCAGCTTGTTGATCTCGAAGTTGGGCGTCTACTGCATCCTTCATCCGGTTCAGCAACACTCTGTTGAAGACTTTCCCTGGTATTGACAGTAGTGTAATGCCTCTGTAGTTTTCACATTTGCTCAGATCTCCTTTCTTTGGAATCTTGACGAGGTGTCCTTCTTTCCAGTCCATCGGCACTTGTTCCTCCTCCCAAATCTTTTTGAATAGAAGGTAAGCATGCTTGTGGTTGCTTCGATGTCTGATTTCAGTGCTTCAGCTGGTATGTTGTCGGGTCCTGCTGCTTTCCCGTTCTTGATTTGTCTGACGGCCATTCTAATTTCTTCCGTCGTTGGTGGGTTGACATCTATAGGAAGATCTATGTGTGCTGCTTCGATGTCCGGTGGATTCATTGGAGCCGGCCTATTCAGGAGTTCCTCGAAGTATTCTACCCATCTGTTACGCTGTTGTTGAATTTCGGTGATTGGCTTGCCTTCTTTGTCTTTGACCGGCCTCTCTGGTTTACTGTATTTCCCTGCTAGTTTCTTCGTTGTATCGTGAAGCTGTTTCATATTTCCTTCTCTAGCAGCTTTTTCTGCCGTCGTTGCTAGTTCTTCCACGTATTTCTTCTTGTCGGCTCTAATGCTCCTCTTCACTTGTTTGTTTGCTTCTATGTATTCAGCTTGTGCTTGGACTTTCTCTGCTCGTGTTCGGCTGTTGTTAATTGCTGCCTTCTTGTTCTTCCTTTCTTTGATCTTGTCCAGTGTTTCTATAGAGATCCATTCCTTATGATGGTGTTTCTTTAGGCCCAGAACCTCTTGACACGTTGAAGTTAATGCTTCCTTGATGCCTTTCCAGTTGTCCTCCATACTAGTTTCTTCTTCTTTCAGTAGATCTTGTAAGGCTTGGAACCTGTTGTTGAGAGCTATCTTGAATTCATTGAGTTTGTCAGTATCTCGAAGGAAGGCTGTATTGAACCTTTGTAGTGCTGTTTGTCCACTTGTCCAGTTCTTTTTTAGCTTCAGTTTTAAATTGGCTACAACTAGGTGGTGATCTGAAGCTACGTCAGCACCTCTCCTGGTTCTCACATCTTCCATTGTCCTTCGGAATTTTTTGTTGATGCAAATATGATCTATTTGGTTCTCTGTAGTGTGGTCCGGTGAGATCCATGTAGCCTTGTGTATACGCTTGTGTGGAAATATTGTGCCTCCTATGACCAATTTGTTGAATGCACATAGATTTGCAAATCTTTCTCCATTTTCGTTTCTTTCTCCCAGTCCATGTCGTCCCATAATATCTTCATATCCAGTGTTGTCTATTCCGACTTTGGCATTTAGATCTCCCATCAGAATAGTTAGGTCCTTCCAAATGCTAAATGCCGATAACTATCAAGTGGGGCAATGTATTTTATGTCTGGGATTAACCAGAATTATGTCTCCTCAAAACAGATCTGAGATTCTTAAAGCATCAGTTGTTTTATCGATGGATCCAGCCTTCTTGTTTTAGTCATTAGAATAAAGTTGGTAGGTACATCTGTAGGGAGCACAAACTGAACACAACTCTTTAAGCAGCGATTAATCCGAATCTCAGTAACATTTTTGCTAGTAGTTTTTTTTGTATTATACAGTCGGATAAAAATATTAGTTTGTTGATATAGAAAAGAGCAGTGCTAATGATAGTATGTTAGTCTGTTATCAACTAATCCATCTTCAATACAGCCAACTGATTTTAAAAACTGTTGAATGTTTGAGAGAATTTTCTTGTGACTTTTGAATATGTTTCGAGGTATTTTATTGAAATAAAAAATGAATGTCATTCAAAAACAACATATGTTGGCTTTAGTTTTCATTTCGAGCTGCTTATCATCCAATTAGTTACTCAATTTATTTGCCAGGTAAAGATTAATGTACTTGGCTTTGCGCCACACTCTGGATGTGGCAACTACTGATATTATCTGATTACTCAAACTAAAGTAGGTGGAGTGGGGTTCAAATCCACGAATTAGTCGCTGAAAGTCGATCGTCTTAACCACTAGACCACCGCTTATCATGGTAGAATGTTCCCAGTATCTCTACCTAATTGTGTATATTTTTTTATTCACAGAGAAGCAGCTTGGCTTAGTTCAGGAAGCAAGGGAGTTACGTCATCAGGCTTCAAAGTTATCATCTCAATTCCCTCAACTTGTGTTTGATTATACTGATCCAGAGCCAAATTTTGATAGACGTCGTGTTCTCGGACCTGTTGCGAAATTGTTTCGTGTCAAAGATTTAAAATATGCGGTTGCTCTAGAAGTGATAGCTGGAAATAAGGTAATCTCTTATGTTAATTGATGTTCACCTGTGACTGACTTACATCAGATGTTTTATATTCATAGTTTTGAATGGTGAAATTAGAACGTATTATTGGTTTATGCTGATTGTATGCGTATAATAATGCCACTGTTTGTTGGTATTTATTTATAAGTCTTATGGGAATTAATTTTACCTCTGAACCATGCCTAACGTTAAGTTTATCATTTCTCTCGTTTCAGTTATATGCAGCACAGTTTATTTAAAAATAACAATAATAACTAGTACCGTTTTATATAAATTCTGATAACCACGTGTCAGATCAGTTACAGTGATTCAATAGGAATTGGAGCAATCTGATAGAAATCATAATGCTAACAATGGTAAAAAATTAAAAGATGAAGGGGAGATAAAAGAGAATAAAATAATTAATATTAACTTTATAGGTTGTTAAAGATTCTGTCTGGTCAAGCAATACTCATATCCTTACTACCGTCACACCTTTGTACAGTCGGAAGTTTGGCTTTCCCTTCGGATCTTGGGTTTGCTACTTCTAGTCTTACTACTCTTCAACTGACTGGCATTGCATGGTAGGACCTTGAGGAACAATTGTCCCAACCAGTATACCCCGATTGGTTCATCACGATAGGCAAGCCCGACCACTACATCAAGGTAGCCATAACGGTCGGAAATATGTTCTTACGGTTACTGATAAACGTACACGAACCTTAACTTTGAATCGCGATGAGAGTTTGACAGCTACAGAAACAACATAAATTCCAAAATAATCATGAGAGATGCTTATTCAATTATTTTCCAATGTTCTCATCAATTCTGTTGCTGGGAGTTCTATATACGGAAACAAAATTCTGCGACATAAGTCACAAAATTAACAAAATTCACACACATTTTTAATTTGACAACCTTATCAAATACAATAACATTCCTAACCCAGTATCCCACCGAGAAGTTTATTACTTTCAATCTACCATTGAAAGCTGCAATCAATATTTAAACACTAAGTTAGCATTTAGAAGTCTCCTAACAAAATACCATAAAAAACTCAAACTACTCAGAAACAATCAAGATCTCTCAATAACACGTCCGAACAAAGGTACAAGGGTATTTCCGGTGGACCGCACAATCTACGTCAAAAAGATAATAAATGTACTTTCAAAGAGCATCAAGCCTTCTAAAGATATCAGAGAACAGAATAAGACTGAAGTGGTCGGAAGACAACTAAATTTCCTAATAGAATGAAAAAGAATTATGTGACTAAAGGAGACATTTACAAGCGTATTAAACTAACAGGGTCAACGACATTACGGTTATATCGTTTGTTCAAAGTATATCAACTTGGATTGCGTCTCCTATAAATTCTTAACATGTCTAGGACCCGTTATCTCGTCAGAAATTTGGTTAGCAGACCTCATGGAGCTCATAAGAAAGTATTTTTCCTGTATTCCTCACACATAACCTTTGAATTCATTGGCTACATAAAGGAAGTGAATGTAAATGACAATCATGATTTCCTTTGGTGTCGGACCACTTTTCACTAATGTCCCCGATTACAGAAGCCATTTGTTTTATCTACAAATATATAGATAATAATATGATAAATGTCGGAATCACTTAGCTAAATCAATCTTTCTTGTTATTAGGGAATATAATATTATCTTTTTCTATTTATTTGTCTACTGTTAAGTCACATATCGACACAATATATATTAGTAAAACAAGCATAATCTTATTAACCACTGAAGTTTAGATATTTTTCTTACATAAACTAACAGAAAAACCTATATATGGTTATTGACTTCTGTTAGACATTTTCTGTTTTTCTACTATGATTATCGTATTGTAAAATTTATGTCCTTTTAATTACTTTGTTTGACATTTTCTGATTTTAGTTACAGAACATTGTTGTAGACACAGAAGTCACTGGTAAAATTTTATTAGAACGTGGTCAAATTCGTCGACGTGTCACTATGCTTCCGTTAACTCAAATACGTGGAAGTCCCATATCAGATGGTGTTATTAAAAATGCCCAGTCATTAGTTGGTGCATCAAATGTTGTCACTGCTCTTTCATTAATTGAATATGATAATATGCTTAAACCAGTTATGGAATATGTATTCGGTAGTGTATTAATATGTTCAGATATGGAAATAGCTAGGCGTGTTGCATTTCACCCTGGTATTGAAAAGAAAACAATAACATTAGAAGGTGATGTATTTGATCCCCAGGTAATCATCTTTATTTTTCTTTTAGAAAAAAGTGATTTTAATCATTGCTTCTTTACTTGTGAACTTGTTCATAGTGTGAAGGGGTGGGATAATGGTTAAAGTGTTTGACTCTTGGCCAAGAAGTTGTCTATTCGAACTCCACTCAACCTACTTTCGTTTGAGTGGACGAATAGCATCATTAGCTTCCCTGCTTAAGGTATGTCTTTAAATCGAATGCATTAATCTGTACGTAAAAAATTAGTATCATGCAGAAGATAGCAATGATAACAAATTCTTCGTTCTTAACACGTTTGATATATCATGTAGGGGCCTCTATTAGTTATTGGTATGTAGGTTTGAAACTGTTGACGTGTTTCCGTCAGTTAAATTGTTGTCAATGAATTAGCTATGTTTTCCAAGATACAGAGGTTTTATTTCATGTTATTTTACAATCGACATCGGAAACTGACCTTACTTAGGCAATCAGTGAAAACTAGGAAGCTGTGAAGAACTATTCCATTCTAATGTAGAACATTTCAGCAGCTTGCATCCACTGTAGACTACTGAGCCGGCACTCAATGGTCTACTCCTTTACTTTCATTCAGTTGGCGATATTATTCAACCATATTATTTTATTATTGTATATATGTTTAAGGGGATGATGTAGTTTTTCACTGAAGTTTATTCATCATTATCAGCTTTTTACAATACTGTACGATAAATTCAGTATATTCATTTGAAGAATTTAAGTACTGCATATTCGTCAGCTGAATTATTTAAAGATACTTTTCACTAATGCTCTTTTCTGTCATATTTTAGGGCACACTGTCCGGTGGAAGTCGGGGAACTGCTTCGGATAGTTTATTGTCTCGTATATTTAAGTGGCGTGATCTTGAGGTTGCCGCTCAAAAAGCTGAAGAAAATGTTACTCAAGGTGAAGCAAATGTCAGAGCAGCTCAATTACGATCCCAAAATATTAGTCATCTTCGAGAAGCGTTAGATAATGCTCGCCATCAGTTAGAACTTTTAGAGACTCAAATAAGGCAGACAGATAAACATCGATTACGTGCAGACTTGGCAGCTACTAGAACTGAATTAAGTGAGTTTTCATCGTTTCAGTGGTAATCTAAATACTGACATCTGATACATGTTTTCTTCAAGGAAATTTTTATTTCGTTCATAAGTTAGGATATGAGATATAAGAGCATGTTGGTTGTTCCATTATGTAATACCACACCTGTTTTTGTTCAGTTTATGGTACTTTATACTGTGCACTGTGATACAAGTATGATCTATCTGGTTCTCTGTAGTATGATCCGGTGAGATCCACGTAACTTTGTGTATGCGTTTGTGTGGGAATATTGTGCCACCTATAAACAATTTGTTGAATGCACATAGGTTTGCAAATCTCTCACCATTCTCGCTCCTTTCTCCTAGTTCATGTCGTCCTACGATATCTTCATATCCCGTGTTGTCCATTCCGACTATGGCGTTTAGGTCTCCCATCACGATTGTGAGATCCTTTCTTGGGCACTCCGCTATGATTGATTGCAACCTCTCATAGAACTTATCCTTATTGTCGTTGTTGCTATCATTAGTGGGTGCATCATACTGGATGGCGTTCATCGTGATTCCCTCCTTCTTTGTTTTGAAAGATACTATCACTGGAATCATGTTCGTTTTTATGAATTTTCTCTATTCCATTGTTGAAATCCATTAGGTAGCGTTTATTTCTAGGAGAATTAATTTAATAGATGTGCACTTTTTGACTTACATAAATCTATTCGTTTTGTGTAGAACAAGTCGAAGATTCTTTACAAAACGCTGAACAGCGTCTTACTCAAGCATCTTTAAAAGCTAAGTTAGCTCATGAGAAAGCAGCAAACGCCGTAGCTGAATTTAAAAAAGAAGAACAGGAAGCTGAAAATGCACTTTCAGAAGCTAAAGTTCAACTGGAATCCACGGTTAGTGCTTTAAGGGAGAAGAATTCTCTAAAAGAAACTTTACGCTTAGAAGCTGAAGAACTGTCAAAAGAACTAAATACTTTAAAGGTAACTTTTTCTCGGTTAAATAATCACATGCATCGGATTTTCTTAACTTATATAAGCAACGTTATGATATATCTTGTAGACATTCAACCACTATATCGTAGATTTGTGTCCTACCCCATCTATTTCAATTTGGCGACCTGAGTATTTCCATAGTCATCACGCAGGGTTTGATTCAAAGCCAAGGGCACAAATCTATATGTGGGAATTTGCATCATGTCAATAAACATGATACTAGTCATTATAAGCAAAGATGGATGGTGGCTAGCAGCGGAATTTAAGACGCTCGTTCCGTCGTATTTGGGACTTTTCAGCTGGATGTTCCTGCACCCTAGAGTTGATGTCTAATTCGGGACTCGAACCCATTACCGTTCCCTTCAAACGCTATCGCGTTACCCATTTAGCTACTAAGTTCAGATAGCCATTAGCTTGTGCAGTGTGATGACGTTTAATTCATTTTCGTGTTGATGGATAGCGCGATGGAGTTTGAAGCGAACAATACTGGGTTTGATTCCCGAAGTAGACATCAACCTTAGGGTGCAGGTACATCCAGCTGACGCGTCTTGAATTCCACTGATGGCCACCATCCATCTTTGCTTATAATGCTTGTAAATTAAGGCAATATCGAGGCAATTCATACAGGATACACTTATGCCAATAAGAGACTAAGCAATTGCAATCCTAAACATCAATGAAAAGATTCAAATAAACAATACAAAATGAAATAATCATTATGTTCGACTTCGTAAACCGAGACGTTCTGTGACAGTGTCTGTCATTGAAAGGCGTACCTCAGAGGTGCACAAACCATGTGAGGGCTCTTAACTCGAACACTACCAGTCAAGTCAGAGCTCATGGCGAATTCTCATCTCGGTTTGCAACCTCAAGTGCTGTCTGGCAAGGATGTACACTATTTCCAATTTTGTTTAGTTTCATCATGGACCTACTACTGGAAATAACGTTCTCATCATCTGAATTTTCGGGCATTGATTTCCTACCAGAAGGTCCACTTATTGACTTAGAATACTCAGATGACACAGTCCTGTTTGGTGGAGACACTGATGAAATGCAGTCTATTGGTAGCACTGAGCAACAATACCAGGATGTTTGGGATGCGTTTCTCCCCCTCTAAATGCAAATTATTACTTTAGGACTGGCCTGCGTCAACACCTGAACTGGAGTGAAGTAGTCGAACGCGTCGACAACACTTATCTAGGAAATCTGATTAGCCCTAATAGGTTGGTGTCTGACGAAATCTCTATACGGATTCAGAAAGCTCGTTTGGCTTTTGTCAACTTACGTCACCTATGGCGAAGGCGAGATATCCGTCTATCAATTAACAGTCGAGCATACTGGGCGGCAGTTCTATTTTACTTTACGGCTGCGAAACGTGGCCACTAAGAGTAGAGGATACTTTTAAGTTACTATTATTTGATCGCATATCTTACAAATATTACTGTCATCTGCTGGGATCACCGTATAAGCGATAATGAGGTTGGACACAAGTTATTACGGAAGGATGGTAAATCAGCTGTTGAGGTTGTGAATCTTCATCGACTGAAATGGTTGCGCCACGTATTACACATGTCCAACCACCGACTAGCACGGCATGCAATGGTTACTAGTATTGGAGACGTATGGAAAAAAGTTTTGGGCGACCAAACTAAAACGTGGCATCAGTCCATAAAGTCACCAACTTGTAGTCTGAGCCATGCTGATAGATTCAAACTACTTGGTTGGGGTCCGCACGACTATCGTACCCAGTGGTTGGAGACTCTAGGCGACTCTAGGCTCAGAATCGATCACAATGGCGTAGGTGTATACACTTTGTTTTCCCTTAAACCGTGAGATTAAATTTACTGTATACCTTTCTTTCTACAAACCAATTCTTTCTCCATGTATCAAGTCCTTATATGAAATCTATGAATTCGGTGTTCATTTTGTTGTGCTAATAAGGTTTGGCAGCTTAGACCATTGCATATATGTGCCTGGTTCCACTCTGTAACTGACTGACTGACATAATACTAATAGTATCTCTGTGTGTCGTACTTAATACAAAGACGTTTTGTATTTTTGAATATCTCTTACACCTTTTTGGATTTCGTTATGCTAAAAAATATTTCTACTACAGATCTTCAATTCATTTGGTGTTGTTTTACTTGTATCTTCCCATTGTTATTTGAGACTGCAATTCATCAGTTTCATGTTGGCAAATGTGCATCCTGTGCAGATTGCCTCGATATAGCCTTAAGTCACAAACTTTTTAAGCAAAGATGGGTAGTGGTTAGCAGTGGAATCCAGGACACGCGTTTCGTCCTGTTTGGCACTCGTCAGCTCAATGTACCTGCGTCGCAGAGTTCGTGTTCAATCCGGGGCTCAAACCCATTACCATTCGCTTCAAACGCCATCGCGTTATCCAAATAACTACTGAGTCCTGATAGCCACATGCTTGTGCAATTGGGTGAAGTTTAAATTCATTTGGTGTTGTTTTGCTTGTATCTTCCCAAATGGGATGAAACGCGCGTCCTGTATTTCACTGCTAGCCACCATCCATCTTGGCTTAAAAAGATCTTCAATATACAAAACTTGTATCAGCGGAGTAAATCCTAAATGTTACGATATATTCCTTCTGTCTTGACTGTCACATCTTTAGGATCGACTTTGATTTTGAAGAAAATCATGCCAAATTATGTCTGAAGTCATGTAATCAAGATTGTGGTACTTAATATAATGTATAATTACTTCATTGTAAATTACCTACCATAACATATGTTATTGTTTTGTAATTGTTCTACCCTTTAATAAGGTAAACAGTTTATGTTAACACTATCTTTATAGTATGTTTTTGTTTTAATATCTCGATAAGATGAAGAACTATGTATCCATCTATGTTTAGTAACAATTCAAGTGTGGTCGACTTTCTTAACTGATTCTTTCTTCCTGTACTATATTCTTATTGCAATCTTTCTTTTATATATTACCACCTTTGAATTAACTACTTTTATGAATCCGGTGTCCATCTTGTTGTGTTAATGAGGTATGCCAACTTGGACCGATGCATATATGTACCTGGTCCTACGTTGTAGCTGACTGAGTTGTGCTGTTCAGTCATTTATTGACCTGACTTTCAAACTCTTAAGTCAAATGTCTGAAGCCTTGCTATAGTTATCAAGGTTTCGAAAGTAAATTCATCGGTTGAAATGCAGTTGTAATACCATTCACTATTATGAACCAGTAGTAGTATGGGTTATTTCTATGGTATCATTGAGATCGTGTTATTTAGGTTTACTTTCAAGTAAGGTTTGATAGTGTTATCTATTCTAACTTAGATATGATTCTTCAGGTAATTGGATATAAGTTAGATTTAGAGCTAATGATACAACCTTGTTACCCAGTGAAGTAGACGGGGTGGGGCTCGAACCTGAGACTTAATCGCTTAAGGTCGAACACTCTAACCACTAAGCCACCACAACGCAGTGGTTAAGATGTAATTTTAAGCTGTGATTAGGTAGGTAAACTACTCAGTCTTCAACTAATAGGTTATATATTTGAAATATTATCCGCTTATTTTAGCAAATACAATCAGGTAGTATCATCACTGACCCTCAAACAAACAATGTGGCCTGGAGTTGAGTGCATTATGCTGTAATATACTTAATAAATAATTGTAAGAAGCATACCATTCATAACGTGTTCACAAGTTTACAACGCTAATATATTGGCATACCACTTATGTCTATATCAATCGAGTAGTTTTGACCAAACCACTTGTTTATATGTGTTTAAATTTTAAGATGTTTAACCTTACATTGAGATAGCTTTAAAGAGAGATTGTATAGTTTTATACGAAACATTTATGATTTACCAACATTTATTGTCATTTTTACCAGCTGTAAAATATCAGATTTCACCATAATGATCTTTGAAAGTAAGGAAACAACTCACAATATTGAATTGCTTGAAGGTGATAACCGATTTTAACATAAAGCATGTTGTTAATATACTTTAAATACTTATTTATTTTGTGTATACTCATTATTAAGCTGTCTCTTGAAGAAGCGATTCAAGCTGTAGGAGATGCACAGGCAGAAGAAGAACGTTGTATTGATGCATCACGATTAGCTAAAGAAGCTTTAATTAAAGCACGTGAAGCTGTTAATAAACAACGGGGATTAATTGATGAAACTGTTCGTGCATTGACATCTGCAGAGAAAGAAGCTGGTCAATTAGTTCAATCGTTGAATCAAACAAACAGTCAAGTGGATAAACTTTCTCATCAAATTGAAATGCAAACTAAGGAAAGTGAAGAAGCCGATATCAAGGTAATTAATTTTCGTATTGTATTTTAATTCTTTTGTGATACGCAATACAGATATCTTTTCGTTTTTTTAGTGAGTTCTTACAATTTTTTATCAATGCTTGCTGTACCTGCTTGAATATGTTTAATTTCTCTTTAATTATTTATTTCATAGTTACCCTCACAAATCAATGTCATTTAAATAGCCATTGAAAGTCAGGAAGGGCTTGGTATGTGTTTCATCCCATCATGAGACTCGTCAGGCAGTGTGTATCTACCACTCCACTACCGTGCATTGAACCCAAGACCTTAGATTTTGCTCGCAAACTCCGAACAACTAAGTTGTCACTTGGTGGTTTGCATGTTTTACTCCCATCCATTCGTAATATCATGCAACTATCATCCCACGTTTTTGTCAGATAGCTGCCTTACTATTAACATGCCCGAATCCTATTGGTTACAACTTCTCACTAAAACTAAGGAACTAATAAATATATAGGAGAATTTTGGATTTTCTAGTTGACGTTACTAACTGCTCTTAGTTAGGGTATCATTAAATACCAGTGGAGCTCATTTATTTGGTTTTCGGAATGTTTTAAAAGTCAATGTATTTTTTATTAGGCGATAGTTGTTGTATTCATTGTTTGTTTTAGTGAAACATGTTAAGAGCTTATTTTTTATATATGCATCATGTAAAGGGTTGGATTTCCCTATTATTAATGTTTAAGATGGAATTTGGTTAGCTTCTGTCAGTATATGTCCATCCTAAGCGAACTGCTTCAATACTACATCAGTTTACAAGTTGTATTTGTGACCAGTTTGAAGATCAACACTAGGATGCATGTGTAAATTCTGTTACCGAGTCCGAAATAGAATGAAACGCGTATCTTCGAATCATCCGCTAGACACAATCCATTTTTACCATAAACTGTACGTTTTTTTTTTCTGTCATATTCGTTATATGCTTTAGTGATCATGATGTAAGTTTGTATACATCTTTTTATTTTACGGAATAACTAACATTCTGTCATAAATTTATTGTCATTTAATCATTTATTGTATGATTATGCTTTTAAATGAACTAAAAATCTTCAAGTGATCAGTTCTCAACTGATAATTTGTCTAGTTTCAATATTAAATTGTACAATTTTATTTTGTATATCAGTAAATTGTGATATAGATGAAGGTCGTTATTAGCGAATTCCAACATCAATTCAAATTAACTCAAAGTAGATTTCTGTAATTTATGATATTTCAAAAATGAAAATTTGATTCAAACTCTTCATTAATTATATTAATGTACTACTGAAAGAAGAACATACATTTTAAATTATTAAAGATTAGTGAATTTTGCTGTAGTAAGCTAGGTTCAATGTTTATTGTAATGTAAGTAACATCAAAAATTGACTTCATTGTCATTGTATAATAACTAATTTTTTTAAATTATCCATCATACATCTAAACACTGTGAATAATCGAAAGAGAAGTTATATATTATAAATTATACACCATTTACAAATAATTCCTCTAAAAAAATAAACAAATGAGTTCACCAGATTGCCCCCAAATTCCCTATATATATATATAGTATTAGTCCATTAATAGTTCTCGGAAGTTACTCATAATTTAATGTTCACTAGGATATAACACCTTCTTTTCTCATTTTTCTCTTAACAATTGTATAGATTTAATTGTATCTATATTCAAAAATAATTTCGTTTTTTTAAGTACAATACCTATAATTATTTAAAGAAGTTTATCTAGGAGATAATACTCGAAAAACAATTATACGAAAAGCCATCAACATCCTGTGATACGTATGCTTGACAAAGTCATGTTACTTGGAAGATTAACATCAATTCATGTATTTCTCGCTAACTACTGATCTAGGTCATCTTGGTATGTTCATTCTAGCTGGTTAGGTAGGTCTGCTCAATAACCACCATTAGTGGTTGAAGACTGGGCGACATCGCTCAGAATCATCCACATTATCACAGATACACTCTCACTTTATCTTTTATTTTATTTGGAAATCCAGTTTTCCTTCATATTATACCTTTTCATTGTTTTTTCGAATTATATTCTTAATACTGGACTTTTATCTTGATTATTACCAATACATTATTTCGATCTGTTTTCCTATTCATTGTTATTTTCATATTGTTGCGTTGACATGGTAATAGCACCTTGTTCCAACGCACATCTGTGCCAGGCTCTACGTTTATAATGACTGACTGACAGATTCGAAAATTGTATATTACAAAATATCAATTATTACTAAAACTGCTGATTATCTGAACAATTTAGTCGTTGATATGTGAACTGTGACATAACTAATATTTCAGTATTTACGTAGTTACACTGTAGGAAGTAATTTGTGTAATGGACATTATTTTATTTTAATAGATGGAACGACTCTTAGAAGCATATCCATGGATTCATGAAGAAAAACAAAATTTTGGTGTTGAAAATGGCCCATATTGTTTTACTTCACGTGATCCCATTGAAACACGTCGACGAATTCATTCACTGAAAGAACGTCGTGATCGTCTTGGTCGAACTGTAAATATGCGTGCGATGAATATGCTTGGTAATGCTGAAAAACAATATTCTGAATTGATTAGACGTCAAGAAATTGTTTTAGCTGATAAACGTAAAATTCAAGCAGTTATTGACGATTTAGATAAACGAAAAGAAGAAGTCTTAATAAGTGCACATAATAAAGTCAATGAGGTTAGTGTAATTTTTATGTTATGCTATTGCAATTCAATTTTATAGGTTTTTCCCCTCAGTACAAAGTGTTTCTTCGGAACCAGTCTGCGTCTTCACTTAAACTAATGCTAGACAGTAAAACAGTTGAGTGTGTCGACCATTTCATTTATCTTGGGAGTCTTATCAGCCCTGATGGGTTGGTTTTTGACGGAATTTTGACATGGATTCCGAAGGCTCTGTCGGCTTTGCCAACGTACGCCACTTGTGTCATAGGTGAGGTATCTATCTTCCAATTAGAGAATGAGTTCACCCCGTCCTACTTTATGGCTGTGAAAAATAGCCTTTGATCGTAGATATCTTCAATGGATTACTCTTATATGTTGGGATAATCGAGTTAGGAATTCTGAGGTTAGACGCACAGTACTAGGTAATGATGGCCAACCGAATGGTGAGATATGGTTAGTTAGAACTGAACTGAGCTAGTAATTATAGTAAGAGACTTATACGCAAAATCCATCGGACTGATCTTGACTGTTGATAACTTGAAATTTTAAGAGAGGATAGAAATCCTCTGGAGATAGCTTTGTATTGTTCGATTCTTAGATGAATCTCGGTAAGAGAAAACAAGTAAGGTTGTTGATACAGACGTAGATTTAGGACTTGTATATTTGCCTTCTATCAGGTTTTGGTACACAAGTATGTTTAGGGAAATCCGATTGTAATCATATTTCCTCGGCTTGAGGGTTACTATCGGTGAGATTATAATTTATGAACGAACCGATGAAGTTAAAGGTAGTAAGTCCTGGATTTTGGCGCGAAATCCATTTACCTATGTAATGAAATAGCATTATAGCTGGTTTCAGTCCATGATGAAAACTTTTACCTTTATTCCTAACCTTAACTTCCAACTCTAAATCTTAATCCTAATTCTTCACATTAATTTATAACCCTCTTTTGACCCTAGTAAGCAGGTGACTTTTCTCAAGGTCACTCTGGCGTCGTTCGAAGGTCGTCCATGAAGTATAGTCTCACCTTACTTCGTACTGCATTTAACGCTCTGGGTCAAAATTAGAATATATTTGTGCTTTTCTCGCTTCAAATACAATTGAATCTCTCTGAATTACAATCCACAATCTGGCTGTAGGGAGTAAAGTAGTTCAATGCTTCAATAATTTCGTTAGTAACTTTCGCAAATATGCTTTTTTGAGTTTCTTTAGATCACTTATTTACGTTTGCACTTCACTGTTTGTTATTTCTCACGATTTAGGAATTCTGTAACATTTTCGGGACTCTGTTGCCAGGAAGTAAAGCACGTTTATTTCCCCCGGAAGGTATGAGTGTTCTTGATGGATTAGAAATTAAAGTTGCATTTGGTGATGTTTGGAAAGAATCACTTGGAGAATTAAGTGGCGGTCAAAGGTATCAATTTATTTTTAGTCACATTGATATTTTGGGAAATATTAACTAATATTTAATTTTCCAGGTATTCGAATTTTTCCTCACTGTTTCTAAATTCCATCAGAATTCCGAAATGTTTTTATCGATCAACCTACTGTTACTATCATTTGTCTTTTTTGAAGTCCAATGTGTTGCTCTTTACATACGCCATTATTCCCCTGATTCTGTTGGTATTATGATTGGTCTCTGATTTCCTTCCTGTTCTCTTCATTTCAATCTTCTGCTGGTCGGTATTCCACTTCCAATTGCTGCTACATACTACTTATATCTGTCAACCTAAGTAGCATACACTACAGTTTTATATTGTGCTTAAACACCAATAAGTAATAGTCAAATGTCATTTAGAAGATTAAATTGACCATTAAAGTTCTTTTATATTCAATGGCTATTATTAGAATTTGTGTATTAATTTCAAAATCATGATGCATACATGATTTCCAAAGTTCAGTCAAAAAAACTTTGATATATATGCATAGTTGATCTATGTATGGAGAAATCCTCTTGAGGATTTTTATTTTTACTTCATAATTATTATATATGACTACTGTTTTCATCTAGACTTCAGGTAGCGTTTCGTCCGCCTCACTAGGCTACTCCTAATATCCAAGGGGAGAGAGGGTTGTCTTGATCTAGTTTCCAACCTTGACGTGATAAGTTACCTAGTACAACTTTGAGGCCTGCAATCTGTGAGTCCGATTTGTGAGTAAACAGTCTTAAGGTCAGAGAGATGAAACTACCCTATCACTGACCAGATAGATTTTCAAGAGGAGAGAGAGGATGACTTAGCTTGAACTGTATATCTAATTTATTCCTGACCCAACCAACTTAACAAAAGACACATGAATAAACAGATGATCAGCAGAATCAAAACTCACAAAAAATGATGAAAATAAAATTATATCTAAACTATAGGACATTAGATTCGAAAAAAAGGAATGAATGGATCATGTTTAAATTACAGATAGGAAAGAATACGACAGTAATTTATACATTATAAACGAAAGCTGATTATTTATAGGATAGGGCAGGCACAAAAATAAATGTCAGTATTTCTTAAACTTTGAATTAAACAAGGCATTGTTTTAAACAAATAGTTTTTGTCGTTTTTCTTTGTTTCTTTTCACAAACTATATGAACTCGTCTGTGAATATTCAGTTGTGTTTGTTTTGTTTACCTTATTTTTTAAATACGTATTCAAATTTTTTAGTCATGAAACAGGTATATGAACTCTCTTAGTTACCTATCAATAGGCATATTTAAATACTCCTCACAGTGGTCGTAAACAAATCACTCGAAATTCAACAGGGGTCAGCTAACCTGGATAAAAACATATTAATAATGAAGATATAAATTTCTACCTTTTTAAAGTTAACAATTAGTGTCCGTAAATAAATGGTGTATTTTTTCACCTCTGGAAAATGGTGTTTCTGCAAGATGTACAGGTGCCATCTGTCCTTTTATTCAATTTTTATGGACTTAATTCCTACATATGTACATATATCATCTTTTATTTCTATTCTTTGCTTTTGTGACAGTTTATTCTGTGTGTTTTATTATTTTATCTTGTTCGTAGGTCGTTAGCTGCCCTTTCACTTATTCTGGCTTTATTACTCTTCAAACCTGCACCTTTGTATATATTAGATGAAGTGGATGCGGCGCTCGATTTATCTCATACACAAAATATTGGTCAGTTGATTAAAAATCATTTTAAGCATTCACAGGTGGGTATATAGAAAATTCCTTTTTTTTTCGTTTGCAACAATTGTTTCTGTAAATTACTACATGATTACATTGTGGATTATACCTAAGCTCCCTAACCCAATGACTAACTGACTTGTTAAATTCAAAACCCAAATGCAGTAGTTATCTGAAGAAGGGTGCAAAAATATATACTAAATATCAACATACCTATATTCCTGAGACGTCGATGTATTCAGCCATAAAGAGAGATGCTTTTTAAGGGGTTTATAATGATTATTTATAAACATACACTAATCTCAACATCAGTACATAGCTGTGTCCCAATTCGCAAGCTGTCGACATCTGAAGCAGACATTAAGGTCTAAATAATTGGAAGCTGCTACGCCGAGACAAAAATTCGATGAATGCACCAGAAAAAATTGTTAGTGACTACCAAAATTATTAAAAAGTTGCGGTCAGAATGATAAGTAAACAGAATGACACAGGTTCATGCAAGCGCTAAGCAGTAACATACGATGACCAATCCGTTTTGTGTACTGTGTGTTCGAATTGATGGATCTTGAAATTGTTTACTGTTTAAATAAGTAGTATGATGTAATATACAGAAATATTCGAATAAGGAAGAAAGAAGTATTGATGTACAAATAGATTTAACAGATAGGCCATTCTTCCTAACAGTGAAAGTTGCAAGTCGTTTCTTTTTTAATATTCACATAATAAATTAGAAAAGTATAAACATATAGCTTATACGCATTGTTTTATGCAATATTTTCCCTTGGCTGACTGCAATGTGTAAATTTATTATGGTCTTTACGTAACTTACACATTTTGTTTGACAGTTGACGAGTCTCTGTTTCAAGTTGAGACGCTTGCAATAAAAGTTCATAATTATTTCTTCTTAACAGGGCTATCGCAGTACAGAATTAATCTGAAAAATGTTGTATATTTCGAACAATCCGGTCACATATATGGTTGTCACAGCATTCATAAAAACTAATAAAGATTAATTGAATAAGATGTCGAACAAATACAAAGCAGTAGTCGTAAATAAGCGCGGAAAAATTAACTTATCATGGGAAGGATAGAAAGTTGTCACATCACCCTAGATCGTAAATTGCGTAATGGATAACAATGCTGTCTCGTGGTTGTAATATATTTTCCAGTATTCATGAAGGGCATTTGGATGTCCGAATAGCTAGGGGTTCTATAAGTCTAAGATTTCGTTCTTGACAGTTCTTGTAGAACGTCCTAGAAGTTGTATTAAGGTCAATTCTATGATCCGTCGTGTTTATGTGTTTTGTTGTCAGTGAATTTGGCTTTCGGCTTTCTATGTACTTCGAGGTATTTGATATTGAGTCACTCTGAAACCGTTTGGACACGTGCTTCGTAACCCTTGATCACTTTGTTTGTGTGTCTATATAAATATGTAAATAAGTGAATACTGTGGAATGTGACATAGTCGTTCGCACGATGTTTAATCTTATATGGAATCGGGGATTTGGCTTTTTCAGTCTGGCAGGATAGTATGTTTCCTTGATGGCTGCTTCCAGATTATTTCAGAATTATGCTAATCTGCTCTAAATGATATAGATATATAGACCCTTTTCTTCTCAGCAGATAATTTGCACGAATCTATGTAATTGGAGCAATGTTCTACTTTTGCAGCCTGTTAATTTTAAGTAGATCGGCCTTACCGAGCAGCGTTTGAAATGAAGGATGTGTAGGATCTCGCAATACAAAATATAGTGATTGTTATGTTTATGTGTTCATCACGGTATTAGTATTATTTTACGCGTATCGTGATAGAAATGATTTGTGTAGTTAAGTAAATACGTCGCATTTTTTAAATATAACTCGTATTTAGAAACTTCACAGTACTTAGTTTAGTTACTCCGTTATTTTTATGCTCCCTTCGGATATAGTTCATTGTAGTGTCACTCAAGGATGGAATGTTCAACAATGCTAATGTACTATTCAAAACAAAGTTTGTAGACGGTGTTTCAACTGTGTCTCGGCATGTACCTCTACGAGTTCGGGACGAAAATAAACAGCCTCAAACAGAGAGACAACGGAAACGTGTTAAATAAATTGTGTTTGTATTTGTCTATCTTTTTTAAAAGATACGTTATTTATCTATCCTCCCTTAATAATGGTTTGCTGTACAATTTATCGTATTCAAATATCACTTTATTCAACATATATTAACTTATGTGTGTATATGTAGTTATACGTTCTTCGTTTTGAGTCTTTATTATTGTGAATTCTGGTGATACTAAAAGGTTAGATTTGATGGGGTTGTTTCTAATCCAGTTGGGAGTTGAATCTATCCGCTAACGAGACTTTCATGTTGTGTACGGTTTAGGTCGGATCTTGGTTTGATAGTTTTCTGGAATGGACAGGTCTCCCCACAAGTCCTACAGACCCCGGGTGCCCCGCGTAATAGTGGTTAGTGAAATGCTCTCATTTCAAATTATCCGTACCATTCAGATAATGACTACTTAGACAGGTTCGAGTCATTGGACGGTTGTGTAGTGATTATGTGAGTTGACAAGATACCATGCTTGATATTCCCAATATCAACTAGGTCGGACCACCTTGATGATGTCACTAAGACGTCCGACACACATGTCTTCATGGTTCGAAGTCACTTCAGACTCTACTCTGACTCGTCCTATCGCGACGGTCAGCAATACGAAGAACAATTCGAGCTGCGGCACAGCAAGGACGACGTTATAGTGGGTGAACCATGTCGTTTCAACCAATTCCTCCTGCGTCTAAATTTCAGTGGCAGTTTAATATCTTGTAGATGTTCAACTAACTCCCTGCGCCCAGTAAAATCAGGATGTGACAGCAACTAACCTATAGTCCTGAAACAGTGTGCGGAGGCCATCAGCATACTGGTCTGTGACATGTTCAGGCACTCACTAAATTTACACCAACTGCCAAGAGAACGTAAGCAGTCCACTCTCTACAATCTTCATTAAGGCGATAGGAAAGACTCAACTTGTTACAGACCTATCGCATCATCCCCAATACCGTCCAAAGCAATAGGAGGACTGTTGAATGGACAAATGAGAGAATAGACCTGTTGTGACCAAAAGATACCGATTTATCTAATGGTCCTCGAATTTGCTAAAGCTTTTTATACAGTGCCTCAAGTACTCATAGCGGAGGTTGCAAAGATGTCGCTAAGCCCTAGCCAAATCATCCTGCAGTTTGGTCATTGAATATCGAGCAAATCATCGATCCTCCTCAAGGTTAGGGACAACCAACGCGCATCAGTTAATCGTACGCCATGGACTGGCCCATGCAGCAGTGGTCTTGCTTTCATTTGTATCTACTTGAACTAATATATTTCTGTGATAACGTCCTCTGTGTTGTACAGCCTTCAAAGCATCTATGGTGCCTTGATACGTCAATGTGGTAGTCCATGTAAGGTGCTGACCACGAGGTTTGACTTCGACGTTAGCTAATTTGTCACAACATTCACGTCTTACTCGAGTAGGCCTCCAAACATTTTGACATAGATCATCTACGTTGGTGATCTACAGCCTTATTCTATCTCGGTTCAGAAACGTCCTAAAGAACAGAACGTTTCGAATTAAGGTAAATAGTGTGTACACTGGTTGGAGGGCCTCGATATCGTGTTTCACATGCAAAATAGAATTCGCTCGACAACACTGATCTACACAAATGACTCAATGATCTAGAGGCCCATAAAACTGAAAGCGGATCCACCTGAGCTTTAAAAGGACCTTACATCAATAGAGGAGTGGACAGTAGACAATGAAATAAAACGTAGCCTGTTGAAACGCCATGTCATGAATACTCCACCTCATTTGAAATAAACCACTTACACTCGCCATGTAAATCCACTCCTTATTGTCTCCTTAGAGCTTGACCTCGGGCTTGTAAGCACAGAGCGCTTGTATACTCTAGTGTTGTTCTTAACACTGCTTAAATCGTGCGCATGGTCTCCCGTTGAAGTTCACAATGTCATTGTGCCCCTTCTATTTTAAAGAAGCATAAAACTCAGACTAATTACGAAGATGAATAACCAGTTGCATGATCAGGCTAATATATTGACAGACTCTAACACCCGGGTTATTTCCTAGCGAGCTATATTAGGATAAGAAGTGATCTAATAATGGCATACATAATATTAAGTATGTCAAGCCACCTCAACACGAGATAATTGTCAGAACATCCTCACCACTCACTTTGAGATAGCGCTCGGATGATGGCATATAAAGGGTGAACACCCATGCACACCATCGATTCTCCTCTCCATGGCTTGGCTGCATTTGGAATGCTCTCTCAGACGTTGTGATCACGGCCCTCACAACGCATAGCTTTAAGTGGAAACTTGACGGATACGTACTCAGCCATGGAATATCATAACACTCTTGAACCAGTTGCATCTGATGCGTGTATCATAAGTTACCATGGTTATCATTACGGCATGTCATAAACTATCTCCTATATCTTATAATCATCTCTGTTCCCCCTCTCATTTTTTCAATTCTACCTTCCCACACGTTAATATCTTAGTAAATTACTTATATTTTCTTGAAATAATCACCTCTGAGGACCTCAGTTAATAATTCATTTTTTTACACTGTGATCAACCACCGTCTTAGCTGGTAGTTTGATTGCTTATGGTATCCAGAAATCCTACTGCCCTAAGACAAACGCACTCAATTAGCTACAAGATGTATAAATACTCAAATGACTACTAACTGACTAGAATCAGTGCAGTCGAGTGGCCAGACTACCACTCATTGGACATAACGAAATATCAGGAAACGTACCGAAACCCTAATAAGTGAGTGCAACAAAATCATGAGGTTTACACATGCTCGAAGCAAACACATTGGATATTGGAAGCGCATATTATCTACTTTCTGGGTCGTTGGTTGATATTTCCTTTTGTTCTTTTCCGTTCCAGAATCTCTCCCTGTCTTTCAGGCTAGACGAAACATGCCGAAAAGGTGAACGTTACACATATCCAATCTGGATTTGTGTACGCACCGCGTCTTCTGTTTTATCCATCAAATCTTTTTTTAAGGCTTTTACATTTATTGATCCATCATTTTAATTTTGATAAGTTTGAAATCCAACCATTCAGACTATAAGTTTCAGAAATCCGCAAATGACAGCCAAATTGACTAGAATTGGTAGTGGATTGGGACGACCTTTGTCTTTCAGACATTATGAAGTATATGGAACCGTAATGAAACAACGAGAAGCGAGTGCAATTAATTAGTTTGTTTATACAAGGTCACATTGAATATATCGGAGTAAAAGGTACGCAATATTTAGGTAGTGCGTTACAGTTAGTTTGAACCGAGGCAGTCAATTTTTCTCTGTATGCTTTGCATCATATGAGGATTTCTAAATATTTGTTTTATTGGTTTCTCACAAATATCGCGGTCAGACGTATCAAACGATAACTTTGGTAAGAATTAGTACCTTGTCTCTGCGCTTGACTTTGGTTTAAAAACAATCATATTTGTTGAAAAAGTCAGAGATCAAAAATAAAGTGGCGATTACTCGTATTTCACGTATCACTCGATGATGTGGTGATTATTCATTTTTGGTTATAATTTAAAAAGGGTGATCATATTGATATTTGTGAATCTTAAGATGTATTCTTGGATATTGGTATGTCCTGCATAATACCGATATCTCAACCACTCAAGTTGCCATTTTTGAAAGATATTTTATATTCCCGAATAGGTTTCAAATCGACCATATTTCCCCTCTGAGTTGTTTGTTAACACCTCTCTCCTAGGATTGACAAAATAACGCTTATATTTGACTAATATAAGCTTTTACCTGTAATTGATCTCGTGAGACATGTAGGGAGACACGAAAGACTCGTCTTTTGTGTAATATGAGTATTGTTATTCAAAGTGTTCGTCGAACCTGAAATTATTGTTCATTGCTGCCGTCAACAGGCTGTATCTGTCGTTTAATCGGTGACCTTGATAAGTTTGAGAAGACTATAGCTGACAAACAATTTCTGAGCAATACCAGCGTTCTTGAGAAACTTTACTCACTTGGTAGCACTTAACTAGGGTATAGTGTATGCACAAAAAGTTGGTTAAATTGTTTGTCGGTTAAGGCATATTCAGCAATCAGTGCCATCTTTTTTAACTAGCACAAAACATTTCACGTTGTTTCGTCACTTCTTAATAGTGAGAGGTGTCGTTTATTTACCAAACGTGGAGATGTGCATTGGAATCTGGCTGGCCAAACCGGAGTAGGTATGAGGAGTTTCGAACCTCTGACTTACTGGTTAGAAGTTGTGTTTTTACGTTCGGGCCATCGTTTTCGAAGCTATTTGTAGAGTTTGTATGACGATGTTGTAATGCTTACAGTCTATCATCCCATTATTTCTCCGTTTATTATTAATCATGTTTAGAAAAATCTCGAAATTGATTGTTTTGGATTTGCAGGTTAGTAACATCTAACTGCTTAAAGCTTCTTTGCAACTTAGCTTCGAATCTGACTTGCTCTTATTGCTTTTTTGAGATACGTTTATTTTCGACTGCAGTCTTTATTCAAATTTCCATTCCAGGTCAATGAAAAGTGATCAATGGAAAGACCCTTACCATTCTCACGTTCCAAACTACCTAAATCAAAGCATCGTTTTGTCTCATGGTCTGTGAAGCAAAAACAGAAAAGTAGTTACTTGTATTTTCAATTTTATTTTCTAAAGAATTCAGTCAGACCCTATCGGCGAACCGTTCAAATGTCCCTCTTAATTGTCCTTTAATTGGATGTTCTGGGATTGGTCATATTAATGGCCGAGATACTGCACACGTGACCCTATCTGGATGCCCTTTGTATCACAATATGAGCTTTGTGAAATGGGCGGAGATGCGTGCTCGGGAAGAAGGTCTTGTTGTTCCAGAATCCATTAGACGGATATCTCAAAATTCACCATCGCCTTCTAAAGTTAAGCACAGGGTTGACCGTTCACATCAGTTTAAAACTACACAAAGGGAACCTATGCTTGATGATTTAGCTAGCCAAGTAGAGTTGTACCAGTTTCGTCGTGCTCAACAAAGATTGGTTTCAACCTATGTAAGCATATAAGATTTATTTGTTTCATTTTGTTTTATTTGTTTATTTCCAACTTAACAAATCTTTCCAAGGGTTCCATCAGTTTTGTCTCATTTTTGATGTTTTTTTCTTCTCATAAATTATTTTGTAATGCTGAGCCTGAAAAACAGTTTCGTCTTCTACTTGATTTTAAGATTTAATTTAGTTACCTTATCGTTTACACCATCTGTACTGATCTTGAAGTATTTTATAAGCTTATAGTGAGTGAAAAATCTCGTTTTCGTAATGGTTTGTTTCCGAACTTTGACTCCTATTTGTGATCTAACTATACCACATAAAATGGTTAAACGTGAAACAGATTAGTGGATAATAATCTATAGTCCTACATGTTAAACATCTTTGACGACTTTTACTCTTTTGATAAGCAGATGTTTACACGTGACATATACGGTAGTTCACTACCTATTTGATGGTTTGGAATACCTTAAACCTGGAAGAACTCGTAAGTTAGTAGCCGCAAGACTCGAAATCAACTCAGGAATGCATCGACTGGTATTAAAAGCGTACGCGTGTTTGTCTAGTGCCGAAGAACATCAAAACTTAATTAAAGACTACATGAAATATTGTCAAATATCAATCATGAATGCAAATCACTATTCCTAATGTTAGCTGTATTAAATTTCCGCTTTGTTAGTTATTTCATTGTATTATATAAGGGCTTGATTTAAAATGGCATTATCTGACCTACGTTATTTGTTTTCGGTTGGAGTCTCTTGTCTATTAAGAAATTTTTTAGAATCAGTTAAAGATGGGTTTATTGTCTCTTTTTGTTTTCTGCATTCAAGGAGACGGATGCCCGAGAACATTTGCTTCTATGTGCACGAGTGGCTTCGAATTCAGGAAATGTACCCAATAATGGTAGTTTGTAATTTCACATCAAAATAAGATTAAGCATTTTCCGAAAATATTGAGTTTGCTACAGAACAGCGCATACGTTCTGTTATTTTTGGGACATGGGATTTACAACCGTGGTATCAGAGTAATTATCCTGCCGATTTGAGTTGTCTACCTACCATATACATTTGTGAATTCTGTCTATGTGGAATGCGCCATAAGGTTGCATATGATCGTCATAAAGTAAGTGTATTCGTTATATTACTCTTGCTCATTTGTCTATGAGTTATCGCATTTCCACAATCCCCTTCATATCAGCAATAATTTTTTTACGTAATACTTGCCGTGCAGTAATCGAAGTAATCCTTGGTTTTTATGGATTACTGATTCTACTGATTATAGTGGGGAAAACTATGTGATGATATAGTTTTAAGTTGAAACGTTTGGTATTAACATTTTATTACATCGATGGATGATATTGGTTTAAATCTAAATGGCACCATGAATTTCTGTAAACTTTTTAATGTGTTCTACTTTTCAGGATTGATAAACAGTAGATGTAATTCCGTTTCCTACCGATATTCTGTAAGCTGTGGATGTAGTAATATTTAGTGTCTAATGGTTATCTGAAATGGTTTAAGCTTGTGTTCAAATTACGTTTAATGTTATTTCTAATAATAGTTTAAAAAAAGAACAAATTGAGATGAATTGCTGTTGTGTTAATATTACACCTAAATTTTGATTTTACTATTTCTAGATGTAGGATTTTTACGTTTCCACTCTATTAGGTCATACTAGTTACACTTTTCCTTTCTACCTCTAATTGATCGGTTCGTCTTTTGATATCCTACTTTGCTTTTACTTTCCAGGCCTACTTTTCAACAGTACATGTGTAAATTGTAGGTGATATTGTTCGAAGATTGACTTCAGTTGGGATATCACTAAATTAGAAAGCTCTAGGAAGCTGGTTTATTCTAGCAAAAGACTTAGTAGCAGTACGCACACGTGACTCCACCAGAGATTGAACCTAGGATATTTAGATCAAGCGGTTAGTGCTTAACCATTATATCACTGAGTTGATATCCAACGATACACATTTCTGACTTCAGTCGTTTTCTGATTTAGCTCGTTAGCCACTCAATACCAATAGTGATTGAACTCTATCATTTCAATAAAATTGTTGTTGCGTTTTTTTAGCTGTCGACTATTGACGCACTACATTCAATATTGCATTCTGCTGACCCACGAAATCTCATATCCATAAGTGAATTAGTTCCGTATTTCGATTGTAAAGAAGTTTGTAATTAACTTTATCATCGAATAAAAATTATTGGAGATCAGTTAAATATCTATGAGCTCTAGAAGTTTGGTTCCTGGTCTTTGATTAATTTATCGTGTCTCATTTATGACTCATATGGAACCTTAAAGCTTCACATAAACATGATAAAGTTTATCCACTGAGTTGGATTCTAGTGATCCATAATTGGATCGATGGGCTCTGGTTTTAACCATTTTAGAGCTTTTTTGTATTTGCCATTGGTTATGTGAATAAATTAGGTTACTATGTCAAATAATCTGTGTAAACCTCTTTCTTTTACTTCTAAATAATATTCATTGCCCAAGTGTACACATCATACATCTGTCCCTTTTTTACATGGGAATATGTTTTATTGAGATTTTATTAATAATTATTTTCGTTAACTACCATTGTTCTACGTAGCGGACCATTGACTTTATGAGTAACCGTATTCACATAGCTTTTGAATATCTTGCGAGTATTTTATCTGTATGGTTTAAATTGGAGGAAAATTAAACACTCTATTCACTTATGACCAGTGTTCTATCCATACTCTGTTCAATAATTTCACAAACTGAGGTACTAAAGTTTTGGGTGAAACTTGAGGGAAACTCTCAGCAATTCATGAGATGTTGAAGGGCTTTTACTGAGATAGCTCATTGAAGGAAATAGCTTATTCACGTTGACGAAACGTTTCAGCGTGATAACTGTCAACCTGAGCTTCGAACTTGTACAGTCTTTTATGTTTTCCCATCAGAAAGTTAACTATCTAGCTGGCCGACAATTAACTAAATTTTGGCGTATCGTTTGTCCATACGATCGTAGCGAACCAAAATGAAGTGGCTAAAGAGTCTGATGTGTGTATCATCGATATCTTAAACTATGGAGACGGAGATGAAAAAAGCATATTACCACCAGCAGAGAAGTATTATACCGCCATACTTTATACCTCGTAGTTTTTATGAGATCTGTCCTATTGTTTATTGAATAGAGTAATGTGTTATTTAAAAGAATGCTCGAATATTCAAACGTTTCAGTCTTAAATTTATGAAAAGAAATTCTAATTATGTCAAAACAATTACCCCTTTTCACCATACATGTAAGTCATGTTTCAGGTCATGGCTATTTCAAACATATCAAGGATTGTTAATATTCTAAAATATTAAATTATATGGCCTTATGTTTTTTCCCATTGATATGGATAGATGTATTAACAATGTCTTCGATATGACGTTACGAGTGTGCATACTAAGAAGTCTCGAATTACATTTAAAACAGCTGTTTACAGTGATAATCCGATTTTCAATAGGTCTTCGTCTGATATCATTATGTAATGGAAATTACATTCAAATTGTAAAAGACTTTGCAAAAACCACTTTAGTAATTCTATTCCACAAATTCATTCTTAATTCATCTTGTCTATATTTAATCTGTTCTGCGACCATCGATACCGTTACTACTTATAGTACTCTTGGATTTGTCTCAATACTTCTACTTTGCCATACTAATATGGTATGATTTTGCAACTTGGATCGATGCACATATATAGTCATATGTCGTTTATTAGTGACTGACCTACCCACTCTTGTACTCCTTTTCTCATATATCCCTACTGTTTGTCGTTTTTAGTGATTTCATATTTGAATAATTGTTTTTATTTTGTTGGTAAAGTGTTATTCATGTATCATGATAATCATTACAGATTAATTGTGGTCGAACGTTTCCGCCAGGTAATGAAATATATCGTAAAGAGAATTTATCGTTTTTTGAAATTGATGGACAAAAGCATCAGGTAAGTCTACTTAAAAAAACTTTTTCTTGTTTAAATTATCATGGGTTTTATTGATAATTACGTATATATTAGGAATACAAAAGTAATAGATTTTCTGTTAATTTATCGTAATCTTTGTGATCCATTTTTATAGATTGTTTGTAGGAAAGTAAAGTCTTTTAATAGTATCTCCATCATTATTTGAAGATCTTTTTAATATGCCCAGCGTAATTGTGTATGTATGTAAATCTAGTGGTTGTGTAAAATACGGATTTTGAATGATTAGCGAAACTTTCTCATTGAAACATCTTTAGTTACTGAATTGTGACTTTTGTAAATTCTCCCAATATAGTTCATGTTGTTTTGTTTGACCAGTATAAACTTTTTGCTGTGTAGAAAGGATGAAAATATAAATGATAAAAATCTTGAAATCATAGATTAATATCTGGAAATTAGTTTTTTGAGCTTATAAATACGTTATTTTCAAAGTCAAATAGTCATGTATTTATCCGCTTTTTTTTCACACGTGATGTTTTTGTTAAGAAACTCTGACTAACATCGATAATAGGACAGAAAAGGTTTTTTCTTAATCTGGTGGTAGACAGATAAGTCATTTGTTGAGAAGTTTGTTACTCAAAAAAGAGTATTAAGTGTTGGTTGGTGGTGGTCCGTAAAAAACCCTAGACGTAAGTTTTGTTCTGTGGGGTATTCGTCAGCAAGGCTTACTTGCAGTTTTGGGAGGATTCGAACTTAGCTTCACAGATTAAGACATTACTACGAATCTATTCGGGCTATGGCTGATATCCTGTAGGAATGAGATATTTATAGTTGATTGCGTATTTGATTAGCGACCAATGTCATTACTATCTAATCCTTAGATACTGTTCAAACTACATAACTACTTCCAAACACTTAGCATATGAACGTAGTACAAATGATATTGGCTGACTTAAACTGTTGACGACATTGCCACTTGATCGATAGAATTTGGTCAACACTACGGGACTAGAAAGAAATGTGATATTGGTCACTACTACTCAGTTACCAATAAATCATACAAAAAAATAAAATAAAAACAGTTGTTGTTCATTGATCTATTTATATATCATAATTTCAAATGTATTAAATAAATACCACATATAAGTTTGTTCTTGAAGTATTGAGAACAAAATCTTTCAGCTTGATAATATCGTCACGTGGTAGGCCAATTTCGAATTTTTCGCAAATGAAATGTTTGTAACTTTGTTTGCTTAAAGAATATTTTACATAATTTTCACATTGTAGTTAGTTTTATTGGTCTGTTATACCGGTAATTAGTATCGTGTATTGATGTTTAGCTGAGAAACAATTAAGAGTTGGTTGTAAGTCATTAGTTTGAATGGTAAACATTGTTAGTTATTAACGAGTGGTATTCTTTGAATCATATAAATGGCTTGATTATATCATTGTTTCAGTTAGGCCATGAGAAATATTATTGTATAATGTGCACCTTAAATTAACTTGTCATTCTATCTGTCTGTTTATCTACTAATATTTCTTGGTGATCAGTACGTTTTAAAAAAAAGATTGTCTTATGTATTCAGTAGGTTAGCGATAAATCTTTACATTAATAAATATTTTGTTAATTTTTTACAGGAATATTGTCGAAATTTATGTTTATTAGCTAAATTATTTCTGAAACAAAAAACAGTTCATGAGTTAGATCAAGTTCCTGCATTTTTATTCTACGTATTAACTGAAACAGATCAAGATGGTTCACATATTATTGGTTATTTCTCAAAAGTAAGTAAAATATACTCTCATTTTATTCATAGTTTTCTAAGATTTTAATGGTGTTAATCTTCTCTGAATTAGATCATTCAATTGTAGCATTCATCGTCATTCTGGCCAACATTTTCAACGCTTATTTCGTGTAGAGAAGTCTTTATATCTATCTATCTATCTATCTATCTATCTATCTATCTATCTATCTATCTATATATATATATATATATATATATATATATATATATATATATATATATATATATATATATATATATATATATATATAATTTTTCTGATCATTTAGTCACTAAGATTTTAAAAGTGTTGCGCAGTAATTCTGTTATAGATTTTGGGAAACTAGATTTATTTAGGCAAAGGATTTATTGGGTCAAAATCATCCTGTGACAACCACAGAGGGATTAGTTTAACAAACATAGTATCTAAAATACTGGCCTCGATAATTATCAAACGCCTAACTAAGACTCGTGAACTACAAACACGAGAGAACCAAGCTGGCTTTAGACCTGGTCGTGGCTGCATCGACCACATATTCACCATTCGTCAGGTTCTAGAACACAGGCATACCTATCGGCGTCCGACGATGGTGGTCTTTCTTGACTTGAAAGCAGCATTTGACTCTGTAGACCGCGAGACTCTATGGCAGTGTCTGTCATTGAAAGGCGTACCTCAGAAGTACATAAACCTTGTGAAGGCTCTTTACTCGAACACTACTAGTCGAGTCAGGGCTTATGGCGAACTGTCATCTACTTTTGCAACCTCAAGTGGTGTCCGTCAAGGCTGCCCACTTTCTCCATTTTTGTTTAACTTCATCATAGACCTATTGATGGAAATAACACTCTCGTCGACTGAATTCTCGGGTATTGATCTCCTTCCAGGAGGTCCACTTATCGACTTAGAATACGCAGATGACATAGTCCTGTTTGGTGAAGACGCTGACAAAATGCAGAGTCTTCTGGTAGCACTAAGCAACAATGCCAGAATGTTTGGGATGCGCTTCTCTCCCTCTAAATGCAAGTTGTTGCTTCAGGACTGGTCTGCGTCAACACCTGAACTAAGGATAGGGAGTGAAGTAGTCGAACGAGTTGACAACTTCACTTATCTTGGAAGTCTGATCAGCCCTAATGGGTTGGTGTCTGACGAAATCTCAGCACGGATTCGTAAAGCTCGTTTGGCTTTTGCCAACTTACGTCACCTTTGGCGGAGGCGAGATATCCGTCTATCAATAAAAGGACGAGTATACTGCGCGGCAGTCCGTTCTGTCTTACTCTACGGCAGCGAAACATGGCCTTTAAGAGCAGAAGACACCCGTAAGCTACTAGTATTTGACCACAGATGCCTTAGAAATATTGCTGGCATCTGCTGGGATCACCGGGTAAGTAATAGTGAGGTTAGACGCAGGGTATTAGGGAATGATGGTAAATCAGTTGATGAGGTTATGAATCTTCATCGACTGAGATGGTTGGGCCACGTATTACGTATGCCTGAACACCGATTACCACGACGTGCAATGCTAACCGGTGTAGGGGATGGTTGGAAAAAAGTTAGGGGCGGCCAAACCAAAACGTGGCATCAGTGCTTGAAGTCACTAACTTCTAGTCTTAGCCATGTTGGTAGATGCAGACTACTTGGTTGGGGTCCGCGTGACTTTCGTAACCAATGGTTGGAGACTCTTGGTGACATGGCCCAGAATCGATCACAATGGCGTCGGTGTATACACTCCCTGTCTTCCCTTAAACTAAGAGATTAAAATCACTTCATACCTTTCTTTCTACGAACTAATTCTTCCTTCCTATACTATATCCTTATTGCAACCTTTGACCTAACCACTCCTATGAATCCGGTGTTCATCTTGTTGTGCTAATGAGGTATGGCAACCTGGACCGATGCACATATGTGCCTGGTCCTACGTTGTAGCTGACTGACTGACTGACTTATTGGGTAGAAGTATACATTTTTCTTCCCCTCTTGATAACCCTCTAATAAAGCTTCTAAAACTGATCAAACAAACAAAAAGAACTCAGAAAGTTGATAGTTCTGACTCAGTTTGGTATTTCAAGGAAATTTCTAGTTATTCTTAAGATTCATTCACTCTGGATGGTAGTTTCAGGGCAATATATCCAATTGTACGTAGGCATATAAGCAGAGATGAATGCTGGCTAGCAGTGGAATCCGGATTGTGCGTTTCGTCCTATTTGGGGCTTGTCAGCTGGATGTACTTGCATTCCAGAGTTGATGTCTACTTCGGGGCTCGAACCCATTGCTATTCGCTTTAAACGCCATCACGTTATCCACTTAGCTACTAAGTTCAGATAGCCACTAGCTTGTGCAATGGGGTGAAGTTTTAATTCATTTTTGTATTGGTTGCTTAGATTTTCCCATTGGTGTTTAGGACTGAAATTGATCAGTCTCATTGGCATATATTCATCCTGTGTTGGATTGTCTCAATATTGTCTTAAATCAAAAGCTTCTTAAGCAGAGACGAATGGTGGCTAGCCTTTGATTATTAAAAGAGCTTAGGAAACTGATTCAATCGTTCAGTCAGAAGATTTATCAGTAGTCTTCTCTTTAGTTTTCTCGTAGAAATCGTCATAGAGATGTTTGAATCACAATTTGATGTATTCTTATTGAATGTAGTGTATTTACTTCTTTGGCTCATTTAATGACACTTATCTTTGCATTACCTAATATTTTTGAGGCATATCGTTCATCTTTAGTTAAATTAAAAAATGTAGAAGTTTTGGCGTAACCAACAGAAGCGGATTCACTAAAGGGAATTGTTTCGAAAGTCAGTAATTAAGGTTTGTTCAATATTAAATTTAAGAGTTTCAAGTAAAGGCATTTAAGTTGGTCATTCAGACAAATTTACTACCATTTAATTAATGTGAAGAGGTTATTAGAAAATCTTCTTAATAAATTCAGTATTAGGACATTTTTCTAACTTCCTTATCCGTTGTTGTTTTGAAGCTTTCTGGTAATTTTTCATCTTTGTGTTTGGATTGTGATTAATAACTGTCGTCATACATTTTATTTTGCTTTTTACTTAGCAAAAAGCTGATGATCAATGTGACAACTCCGTCAATACCGTGTACAATAATCTTTCATGTATTCTCATTTTACCGCCTTATCAATGTCGTGGTTTTGGTCGTATGCTTATCGAGATGAGTATGTATTCATTAAGTATTTATGGAAAATGTTAATCGAACTACTTTATAACATTAATAAAGGTTAATATTTTGATTATGTTCTCTTGAAATGTAAATTTCGTTATATTCTAGTCAAACTTCTATTGGTCTTGAACAACTGGAGGCGTAACCGCCGATTTCAAGGTCTGTCATAACCGACTTCTTATTTTATAGATAACACATTACAGCCGGCAATGGAAGTCCCATTCTTCCATTCAGCATCGCTGAAGAGGCAGGTTATGTGAAGGGAACCCTTCATTGTTGTCATGCACTTGTAGGGTCCGCAGTATGACGTATCCTTCAGACTTTGAGGTGCTGCTTTTAGTCTCACCATTTTCTAACTGACTTGTGTGGCATAGTAGGGACCTAAAAGAAATAAGTGCCCTAACCAATATAGCTCCATCGGTTCATCAAGGTAAGTTAATCTGATCACCATGTCACGGTAGTGGCTCCAGTCGGATATTCTGTAACTACTGTCTTCTAAAGAATAATCTTGCAATAGTTTATGTTAATTTTTTACTTAGGACTCGAGTAATAATGATAAAATTTATGTTGAAGCATTTGTCTTTGATTTTCATCTACTCGTCATATTATTCCTAATACTAGTTAAAAAGTACAATTAATTTTTTTTCTAAGAAACAATTATTTCTTATTTCAAAGGCTATATTTTAAGTCGACTAGAACAACGTATTGGTACACCAGAACGTCCATTATCGGATTTGGGCATCATTATTTACAGAAGATATTGGCGTTTTGAAATTTTAAAATACTTATCGTCATTCACAGCTAAGTCAATTAATATTCGAAGTAAGTGACTATAATTTACGATTTTTTTCAAAAAATCTATGTTTTATTAGACTTTCAACGTTTCATTTCGAGATCAAAGCAACAATCAGATGTATCTAAGATGACCTCAGAAGTCGTTCTATCGATTAAAGTAATTTTAAAACGGAAATTACGTTGACAGTTTTGGTACTGCATTACAAATAAGGTTTTTAAATCTATTTTGAATAAAGTAGTCGATTACTATGTCACCTTTTAACTAATTGAAAAGTGGGTCTTTTTGTTTGAAAATCTTATCTGTCGTTCTACGTATGGGTTGGATATAGTCTTTAAAAATTGCAGGCCTAACGGTTAGATAACTGTATGAAGTGTGATAGTACTATACTTGTTATGTTATTGTTTACATCACTAACAACAAATCCATTATATCTGGTAGCCGACGTAAACTATCAAGTCTTAATTTTGAATTAGAATATTAGAAAATCAAACGAGTAGTGCTTACACGTACTTCTTAATATATGGACTCATAACTAACCTGATGGCGTAAAACAGATGTACAATGCGTCAAAAAAGGGTTATATTCAGGGCTATGCAAAGTTTTGTATCAGTCTTAACACTAAAATAGGATCCAGAGTTTCCTGTCTACTACTTTCAACTTCCAAACATTCTATAAAATTACTTTGTGCATAATACATGAAATGTGGCATGTAGTGTAATCCAGGACTCTAGGCTGGTCCTATTTAGGACTCGTTAGCCAGACGTACCTGTATCCCAGGGTTAATGTTCACTGTGGGACTCGAACCCAGTACCTTTTGCTTGAAACTTCAACGCGTTATTTGCCTACCTAGTAAGTCCAGATAGTCTCTCATTTATGCAAGGGTATGAATTTTAACTTAATTTGTAATTATTTGGATGACCTCGCTGTTGATATATTGACTGAAATTTAATCAGTCCCTGAGTGAGCAAGAACTTTAGGACACAGCCACATCTAACTGATGAGTCCCAAATATACCAAAACGCGCATCCTGAACTCTCCTGCTGACTACGCTCCATTTATTTTTTATAAACTTGTGGCTGTATAGGGCCAATCAACATAAAATGTACATATGCCAACAAAGACTGATCAAATTTTAGTCTAAAATATCAGAAACGATATATTATGATATTACAAAGGTACCGGGGAACGGAACGTAAACCAGGAACGTAATAATGGGACGAAGCTAAATTATTCTTCTGCATCCCAGCTCTGTTAGCTAGATGAAGATCAGAGTCAGCAGGAAAAATATATAATTCTACAACCAGCCCAGAAGAACGAATAACAAACACCCAAATCTTATATGATGTATACAATGTAAAAATGTCCTTGAAGAGCGTCACTAAATAGAGTACCGAAAAAGAAGACGGACCAATAAAATTTAAAGTCCTTCCAGGCGGGTAACACGAATTAAAGGTAGTAATGGGAGCTTTTGGCGCGAAAACGATAGATTCAAATTTCTACAATTAAACTACAAAAATAGAATGTTTACCAAGTGATTTCTGGGGGTCCAGCATCTCCAACTTCGTTGTATGTGCTTCCGGTTCCGGAGATTGTCTCACCAGATATCATACGGTACTTAATGAGACCTTAGCCAGCTGGAACTGGTCAAACCAATCTAAACTAAGTAGATTTAAAGTGACTGGCATTACGCAACATACCCTGGTGAACACCGATTCTCGGGAAGACACGTCACAATCTAGTTATCCGAACAAACGCAGATCACTACCACATGCTGTACGAGCCTTTTATCTTGTTAGCTGAATGCACGGGCTGCCCATTTTGATCCCAAATTTACGGGAGATAATGGTAATGTCTGAAGCTTTATCTATTTGGGATCTAAATAAATGCCCATTGTTATTAAAGATAATAAGTTTTTTTTTCACCTAGAGTTGTGTTCTGATAGAATTCTAGTAGGCTCAACGGATTAGTGCAGGTTTTGGAAGCAGGCTTTCTAATGTTTATGGACTGATGTGATAGTTGGTTTGATTTCCAACTTTGACAGAGTCCATCTTTGTGACCGTTGGATTTATATTTCCTGCAACGATGTTGCTTGAACGGACAGGTTCTTACCGAATGTCACACACAGTGCTAGGAGGGAGCCGGAGGACTTGTCTTCGTTTAATGAACTGGGCTTGGGTAAGATGAGTTAGGTATAACAGGCTCGGGTTTGGCTGTGTTGGACGGTTGCTGGACTATGTGAACTTCGGAGCGGTCGTAATCTTCACACTGAACCATATTAGTATCGCGCTGAAGATTAATTAGCCTTCAATATTTATTTGCAATATTACTCAGCGTTAGTTTGGGATCCCAGTCCAATCGACATGGTAGCCGCGTCATAATGTCACCAAAATTTTGTAACTGTTTGATGAAGAGTATGCAAATGAATTATATATGTGGCCTTTTACTCTTTTATTTTCAACAATGAAACGTGATTATAAATGTGAGGACCTGGTCATCATTATTGTTATTGATATTTCCTTTTTCCATGATTTGATGGTTTATTTCGTTGGGTTATTAAAAGTTTTAGTTGGAATTCAGACGTCGGTAGTTTTGTGCGAAATTCTGCATTGATTTGTGTTTACTTATCTTCAATTTTAACAAAGCTAGTCTAACTTTATATAATGTCCTGAAATTCATTTTTAAAGAGATCCACAGTTGCATTAATCTGACTATCAATTAACATGGAGATATATGCGGTAACTTCAAGTGGAAACAAGTGTTCATTCTTCTAAAAAAAATGATTGATTTAGAATGTAGTATAATTGGGTAAATGAAAATATACTTAAAAAGCCATGAGCAAGCAAACGTACATGCTAGAAATGTAAGTAGAACAGACCAGGTTCGTGGAAATGTAGCAGAAATGGAATTGTACATTGGTCTTTTATCTTTTAGACCAAGAAATACAACACAATATTATTTCACAGTGTTTTCATTAACTGACAATCGGAGTAGACTTATAGTTACACTTATTGATCATCGGCAATTCCCCACTGACAGATTCTATTCGGCTAAGTAAAAATATCATATAAATAGTACATTTTTAATTTGAAATAAATCATACTTCGTAAGTTGTATTAATCACAGATTGGTCTCAGTAAGGGTAACATTTGAAACTAGGGTGCATTAAACAACTTTTTCACCTTAGTATGAGACTGAGCACTGCGCACTAACAACCCTTCTAGGCATCAAGCCTTAGAAACTTCGGGTCTATGAGATTAGTCTGTGGTGAATAAAACCTATAAACTACACCAATTTTCACGAAATCCCTTCAACTAACCTATAATTTGTTTTTGTTGAAGAGCTTGTATTCAGATAAATTATTATTATTACTATAACTATTATTATTACTATTATTGTTATTATTATTATGACGACGATGAACCCACCTTTTTTTTAGCTATGAGTCAAGAGTTAGGAATAGCAGTTCCTGATATTGTAAGCACTTTATTAGATATGAAGATGCTTGTTTGCTATCGGACACAATATTACATAATCAATAATAAAGTAAGTGAATTTTTCACTGTTTTTGTTTTTGGCATATTGTATTTTTTAATGATGAAAAGCTAGTAATAGTAGCAGTCAGCTAGTCAGTCAAACGCAACATAGAATCTGGCGCATGTGTACATCGGTTTAACTTGCCATACCTTATTAGTAAAAAGAGATAAAATTGTCAGTGCAAATCCCAGAGTATTAAAAGTGTTAACAGTATTGATAGTAACGAAAATGATTAAATATCGAGGATACCGTTCGAGAGGATATAAATTTGTAAGATTAACGAAAATTACAAGCAATTTAAAAACTTGAGATCTAAGAGAGGGGAAAAAGTGAGTTCATCTGCGTCATTGCGAACGATTTTCAACAATGTCATTCGAATTGTCCAACCACTGGTCACGATAATCGCACAGACCTCAACCAGGTAATCTAGACTCGGTAGTAGTTAGTGTCCTTCATTTATTTCTTGAAATAAAAACAGAATTGTACTTATACCTAATATTTCTATCTAGTTTATCACTACGTATATGGATATAGAGACAACAAGTTAATCAGAATCGAGAGAATAACTTCTTGGTTTTTGTGCGAAATTTAAAGGTGAATAACTTTTATCCTATATCACGTAAAGTCAGCAATACGAATACTTAGACAGTTTAAAACGGTAACTAAAATTAATCCTTTTCTGCCATTGTGGAGGTAAAGTGATAATATAGTAAACGATAAAACAGTTGGGGATAACCAATCTCAATAGTTGAGATCATGAGTCAATTGAAGCTAAACCACCATGGAAAACCTGGAAGCACTGGACGGCCGTTTCGTCCCGCGAGGCGGGGTTGTGGATGCGCGCTGCTGAGGAGTCCCACAATAGGACGAAACGGCTTTCCAGTGCTTCCAGGTTTTCCATGGTGGTCTAGCTTCAATTGACGCATGATCTCAACTATTGAAGTTACTAAAATCTCCATAAAACCCCTTCTGATAACCAATCTATTGTCTTATGTAAAATTACACAATGCCTTCTTAAAATATGGAAACCATACATTAAATATATTATTTGCGCATCTTCCTTCGGTTGTCCTTTATATACTTCGTGATTATTTCAATTCTGTTGTTACTACAATTGCTCTTTGTTTCCTTTCCTGTTCTCCTCAATCTAATCTTCTGCTGACAGGTATTGCACTTCCGATTACTGCTACATACTACTTATATCTGTCAGATAACTATGACAAGATACTCTCATCAACCCTCTCCTATTTACATCTAGTTTTATCTTAAGTTTCCTTGGTTATTGCGTTTATGATATCTTTCAAGAGGTATTTCTTAGATTTCAACATCCATAGATAAAAATTCCACGCGAATTCATTATTCTTGTAAAATGTGGGTTGTGTGGTCTATAGATTTTTTATTTATTGTGAGTAGTTTTCATTCCTATCCAGTTTTTACAATAGGGAATGAGGATTTTTAACATTAGAACTTCCTTACTCTCTTGACTGTTGGCATCATCTCTGATAATATTTTACAGGTAACATGTGATTGCACCATACGCATTCCTATTCAAAATAAAAAGAAACACTATTTCTGGATTTCCAACTTAGTGTGTGAATAGTTACATACTTTCTAACAGAACTAAAGATTGTAGGTTCTATTCTATTTGGGTTCGTACTTAAAAAAATGTCATGGAGTCACTGACTAGAATAAAACAATTTCGCTTGTGCTATAACATGATTTGTAGTTTTTCTCGTAAATGGGAAGAAAGTGCGTTAAAATAACTCACCCACCAGCAACTTAAGTATTAAAAAAACTAATGACACTACTCGAATGCCTGAACGAAAGTAGTTTGAGCGGAGTTTTCACCTGAGATTTAATAGCTAAAAGTTGATTGTTTTAATCATTAGACTGTAATACAAATTCATACATTCCAAATTTATATTTGCTGATTATTAATTAAACTTCATTTATCCTGTTAATAATCCGTTACAGTTAGTCTTATATTTTATCTTATACTTATTTTGTTTATAATTTTTTTAGCCTGATGTAGACGCTCTTTTGAGTACAATTAAACCGCCTGCTGCTGATCGTTGTATTGATTCTACATGTCTTTATTGGACTCCTAATGTTAGTAATGTCAATCAGTTGAGTAAATCGCCTAGTAGTAGTACTCTTAGTATTAGTACTACTACTAATCAAAAGCTTCTTCATAAATCTAGTCTTATTTCACCAAGTGATTCAATTGGAGCAAATATTTGAAGATTTTTGTAATCTAATTATTGTACATTGAAATATTGTAAAGAGTTTTGTTGTATATAATCTAGTAATAATAATAATACTATTTATGCTCTTATTCAGTTTCTGATGTAGTTTTCAAATATAAATTTAAGATAGTGAGAAGAAATCATATTGTTTTGTTACAGCCCATCATGTTCGATCCTGCTACCGATGCACACACTACTTATAAGTTTGACCAACTGCCAGTAAGAGTGAGAAAACTATTATATGTCTAGAAAGCTTTGGTTACCAATTCGAATTAAGTGCGCTCAAATCCATGAGTCTGTATATATTTGGGTGAAACATGGATCTAAAGGCTTAAACTTTGACTAGGGGCGTAATCAACTACCTTCAATAGTGTGTCTCGTTTGTAAACTCTGCGGTTATCAGTATTTGTTCGTAAATTGACTAACTATTTGCAGAGAAGGGGAGAACTATGAACTTTTTAGGTGAGAATCATAGAGCTAATAAAATTATTGACTATAAGATCTAAAGTGGTTTGTTTCTGTAATTTTTGTATATTTTATTACTTTCTACTCGTGAATCATATTTCTGTTGTCGGTTTTCATGGCATCCCGTTTATACTGATTTTTTAAAATGTAATAACTTAATTCGACATATTTTTGTCCTGTATGAGTTTAGTATACTCGTTCTGTCTAGTTGTTCGATTGTGACAATAAGTGTTCTGGAATAGAACATTAATTTTTCGGTTCATAAATACTTTTCATATGTTTAAATTTAGAAATACACAGTTAGCTGGTTATTCAATTCTTTAGACGTCTGTTGATAAGAAATAAATCTCTTGAAATAGTATGTTCTGTACATCCACTTGTTCATGAGTTCGTGTATCGGGGATGGTTTTTTTAAGATGTCTTCATTGCGTGATTCTCCCTCATCATCCTAAAAGAGTTATGAAAATGGTAAAGATATTTCAGTAAGTAACAAGGGTACCGTAGTTTTACGATGATAATTTACATATTCTCTACACACTTTTTAAAACACGTTGGAAACATTGTAGAAGGTAAAAGTTGATCAACAATGTTCATGAGTATTTTGTGCTCATCATATTTAGTTTGAATATAACAAGGAAATCTTTTTAATTCAATCCAGTAATGAAACAAAGATTTATATATATCCCCTTTAACTACACTTTTAGCGGTATCAGTATTATCTCACCGTTTATAATGAAGCGAATGCAACAGTTAAAGCTGATTTAAATATCAATGATTGTATGTTCATCACTTTTACAATCGTAGCAACTACTTCAAGCGGTCATATAATAGACTTCGTAATCGTTTTAAACTAATTTTTATTCCGTCTGATCAGGTGATTGTTTCTTATTTGTGTTATCTATTGTGACTTGAGATTCCAATCGAAATCATGTGTTACATAGTGCAATCAGGATTCCGATTATCCATTAGTTTACCTATGTGACCAGTAGGGAAGGTGACCTAGTTCACGAACTGACACATCGACTAATGAACAACACCTAATACATTAACGCTTATTGGTCCTCGATTTTTCAACCCAGTAGCCAATTAGAAGATCCAGACAGGAAACAGTTTACTTCTATTAAACTATGAATCAAAGAGCTTATGTCTACTACTCACTCTCTGTTATATCTTCACTAGTAATAATTAGATCTTGACTATGTGATAAGAAGGTTGTTAAATTTAAACGTTCTTGAATAAGTAAGCGTATTGAATATATTATGCATGACTGAACGGATCCACAATAACTCAGTACAAGTTATTGTCGGTTATTGTCACTCAGTGAAGTTTACTTAATAATGAATCGAAGTCGATATTCAGTTTTGAGGAGTTTCAGAACGTAGTTTGATGGTGTGATAATTACTGCTAAATAATAGAGTTAACCTTAGAGATGTGGACTGTTGAGATTCAAAATCAATGGTCTACTTACTTCATGAAGGTGCAAGTAGTGTTTCGAGCTCATGCTACCAGTTGAACAGAGCTTCTTATGTTTTTTTAGAGATTCAGTTTCTCACTCGATGGTTCTTTGTTAGAATAACTTTCTCTGTCTGTTTTATATTGTTATTTCATTGTCATGGTTTACCTGTACTAGTAATAAAATTCATTGTTTCATGTACGTAATTGTCGTTGAAACTTTGTTCTTAATAAATGACTTTTCATGTTTTCATAGCATAATTTATTTTCACTAGTAAATAACATTGTTATCTGATATAGCAATGTAAACTCGATAATGTCCAAAACGACAATTAAAGCTTGTCAATAAAAAACTTTCTATTTTCAAGTGCGTAAAACAACTAAAAACACTCATCACAGCTGAATGTCCTCATAATACACAAGAGCTTAAAATAAGTTATTTCATATTTGTTTTGATTAGTTGAAACGGCTTGTCTTCTTGAGAATCATACATAATCTTATTTAAATCAAAATGAAGATTTATAGTGAAGCATTCAACAAACTATTTATAGGTACTATGTTAGTAATTTTATAGTCCAACTCAGTAAGTAATGAGTAAAATAAGAACAAATGTTACATAACCGAATAATTTTTATTTTCAAGCATATTTTTGTAAATAAAATTACATTTTCTATATAAGCAATTAATGTATTAACGCATTTCTACATTTTAATATTACCTTTCATGATAATAGTTTATTTAGCTCTCCTGTTGTTACGTTATTTATACAATATAATTGCTCTTGAACTGTTACTTTCATACAAACTCAGTCAAACTGAATTCATTTCGATTGCATTAAAGCATGTTTGTTACCAAATAGTCGAAACTAGTTGATAATGTAAATATCATCGAAATTGGTACTTTGTCTATGCTTTCTTGTTTCATTCATTTGAATTTCTAGTTTTGATAATTTCTTTGCTATTGTCCATTTATAAGTTGCATATGAAAGACTTGTTATTATACTTATCAAAAATAATATTATTAAGTTTATTTGATGCTGTAAACACCAGCCTTTCACCTTATAGAAAACAAATATTAGAAAACTAATAATAAACATTATTGAAATGTGTTTTTTCTCTGTCTATATTGTATAATGTCATTTGAGTTTTAAAATCTTTTCTAAAGTAGAATGATGATATTAGTCTTACTGATGAAATGATTAAGAAGGGTTTGATGAAGTGTTTGATCACTATGGAATATAGTGATCAGTTGTATGTGAATTTTTGATCCAATGTATTTCCATTAGAAATGAAAAAACATTGTTGTTTACCAGTTAATTTGTTACATTTTACTCCATTAACTCCGTAATTTTGAATTATGGTAATATTGATACTATAGTAATGTAGTCATAAATTAATGCCACTGAGTCAACATCAGGTGTCGGATAAAAGAGTGGTTAAAACACGACCTTCAGTCAGTAGGTCTCAATTTTCTTGACTTCGCCCTACTTCAATTCGAACTAGCTTCCACTCACAAACATTTTGAAGCTGATTTGCATAATCCTGTACTTAATAAATAAGCCGGCTTTTTTTTAAAAAGATCCACAGTAATAACAGATTTGTAACGGTAACCTTGGTGGGTAGGTTTATTCGCTCACTGATAAGATCTAAATTTCAAATATTGCATAATACCCTTTGATATTCACGTAATTACTTTTCGATTTGTACACTTTTTATTGTATTTTAATTTTTATACCTTTAAATAAAAACTTACAAATAATGTCTTTATCTTACTCTCTAGTGTTTTATGATGGATGTTTCGGTGAGACTATAATTTATTGATGACCTTTGAGTTACGGCAGTGTGACCTTGAGAATGTTTACCTACTTACTGAGGCTAAATGTGGGTTGTAATCCAATGTGAGGAATTAAGATAGTAATTTTCAGTTGATGGTTAGGGTTAGAAATTAGATTTATGGTTTTCATCACGAACTGACATCAGCTAAAATGCCAAAACGCTATTTAAACAAGCGGATGAATGAATTTCGTGCCAAAATCCTGTTATCCTAAATCTGGTTGGTTTGTCCATAAATTATAGTCCCGCCGTTCTGTTAAAAACGTAACTTAACGAAATTCAATAAATTCATCTATTATCTTTTTTATTTTTACCTTGGTTCAGATTTGTAAGAGGAGTCATATGGATTTAATTTTTGTGATTATTTAGCAATCTTGTTTATGTTATGAAAAGCTGGGAGTATAAAGATGCTTGTTAGTGTAGGCTTCTACGCCGCAGTTTTATGATTTCCTTATTTGCTGAACATTTCATTCAATCTTGAGATTCCGAGGGAATTGAATCATCTATCTGTTTAAAAGTTTTAAATGTATATCATATAATAGTAAAAACTACATCTAGGATAATCCATATCATTTTTGTCGGTTACTTTGTGTTCATAATGATTCTCATTATTATGTCTAGTTATTTTTTTATCAACATTAATATTCAGAGTTAAATTGTTTATTCCTTATGAGATAGCTTTTAGCCGTAAACATCTGAAGCTACCTAACTGTAGAGACAGTTCTCCAATACATTTAATCTGTTAGATTAGAAGTTGACATCTCCGTAATCGATTAATTTGATGGAATCTGACAAAAATAGGCTATAGGAAACGACATTAGATCAGTCCGTGGCAACCTGTACCTCGTCATCAACAGACTAAGAACTCTATCATATCTGGGAATGCTGAAGTTTCGACATATCAGGACGATTTTATAATAACGCGGAGTTCAGAAAGTAAACTAAGAGCGATTATTTCAGAGGTGCTTAAGTGTATCGAATAATATGGGTGTTAGCTATTCTCGGAGAAGCGTCGACTTAATTTGCAGTCAAAAATACTTTGAATTCATCTCTGGTAATCATAAGCCCTTATCTCATCCAGGAAACGCTTGAACCATTCAGTAAATGTCTATACCAAGCAATATATCATCGATACAAGCGCTCTTTGGAATGATAGCTCATTAAAGGATCCTCTTTCATATCCGTCATGGAAGACGAACTCTATTCGGTCAAATTCTATGGAAGAATGTATGATCCCAATGGACGCCAGAATGTGAAGTCAACATGAGGCGAAAACTTCCTCAGAGTCAAATCAAACTTCACAATCAACGAACTAAAACAATGAGTTTCTGTCAACAGATGAACTTTGAATGGATGCATAAATACTGATTAAATATCAATTACAGAAAAATACTAGTCTTTTCGATTAACAACAAATTTAAGACCGAGTAATCTAGTAAGTAATATGGTTCAGTAAGAGATTGGTTAACATTCTTATTTTGAAGCTATAAGGATAAGGTGGAACTCTTCGCTTTGACGTCGATATTGTGATATTTCTTGGTAAAGACGTTAATAAAACAAATATACTATTCAAGTGTATAAAAATCTCTTATCATGAAAATAAAATTTTATCACTTACTAAGGTCCATATATTTGGAGGTGGTTTTATTATAAGATGAATTGATTGCGTGATAAATGTTCGATTATATGTGGAATTAAGTTGATTAAATATATGACATTCATAATATCCTGTCATTTTTTTCACAGTATCATACAGTCTCTTATATTCTGTATCCCATAATGTGAATTGTGTTCCAAAAATTGATGGATTATCAGTTTGATTGTCAAATGAATTATTTCCTTCATGTTTATCTATATGAGAATTTTTCAGTTCTGTATACCACCATAATTTATGCTTTTTTATATCATTCTGCTCTTCTTTTTCCAATAAAGTTACGTTCCAATAAATGAACCATTTTGTTGTGGTAGATTTACTTATAATAGGCCACAATCCCAATGAATTACAAACTAAGTCAAATGTTTCTCCATGAGATAATACCTAAACACATAATTTTACAAAAAGTGTTGTTCTATTTATTTTTAAGTAAAGTAGTATATTTAGTTTTAAAAAATAGGAAACCCTCTTTTAAATAGTACGAACAGCGAGTCCTGGATTCCAGGGCTGATCAAAATATATTGAACGTAATGGTTATCAATCCTTCGGTCACTTCGCTGTGCTAATAATTTATTTCAAATGATATTCGACTAGTGTTAATTAACTCCGTATTTAATCAATTACACAGGGTAATTGTAATCAAATAGACGAGTTGTCTGAAATATTCCCTAATAAAATGAACATTTTGAAAGTTTTTTTAATGATTTAACATATGGTTCATGTTTATTATGAGTCAAGTTGTTGTTAGATTACTTTATCTTATGAAATTGCGTTATTTTTTCCATCAACATGTTATTGCTAATCAGATCTAAGCTCCAAATTCATTGTTACTTTAAAAAATACGATTCACTTATGAATTGTTTGAAATGAAAATATATTATAAGTCGATCTAACCTAGACCACCATTGAAAATCTGGAAGTACTGGACGGCCGCTTTTTTCTAGTACGGAACTTTTCAGCAGTGCGCATCCACAGTTGATTAAAGTTAGACTTCAACACAGTTGGAGGCCGACTCAGTGATTGTGTGTGAGACCAATCGCCCTGGGTCTGCGTCTTGCGTATAGGATAATGGATGTGCATCGCTGAAGAGTCCAATACTAGGATGTAAAGGACGTCCGGTGCCCACAGTTTTTTAGTGGTGGTTTAGATTAGATCGACTCCTGATTTCAACCATGAAAATACTACTATCTCCACAAGTCCCTTATACTGATAAAAATATATTACTTTGAATTCAGTTACTTTCGAGCTTCAAATTGGTCGCATTATAACTACATACTTGTTGCCATTGATGAATATAAACAGGAAAAAAGCAAACTGTTTCAAAATAGCCAGGTTCATACTCGTAACCAAATCGATAAATTCCCATAGTCGATGGGTCTAAACTATGAATAGTCAAGTGATCATTTTCAACGATAAATAGATTTGAATTCACTATTGGTATTCCCGGAATATAATAGGGTTCTTTTGAAGAAGTGGGAATTGAACGAGTCCAGTAAAACTTGGATTTTGGAAAGCGTTCAGATTTATCGAATATTTTCTTACGAGAATTACGTGATGATGGACAGAAAAGTTTTAAGGGACCATGAATTCTCTGTGGTAGACCACCTGATGATATCCAGGCATCTTCTGCTCTTTGAAGATTTAAATCCTCCAACAATAATAAATCTTCTTCAGTATTTAATGTTTTTAAATATGAACAATGATGACGGTTGCATGGTTCCCATAATCCTTCACCTTTAAGTATTGCTTCAAGTGCAGTTCCCGTTGGAGCGTCAGTACTGTTATTAACTAATAGATTAACTGCCATTTCTGCTGTTTCTGGTGGTATTTCACAGTCTTCACCATCTTGCGACGGCTTCGGGCAAGCACACTGGCGTAATCTTAATCCCATCCCACGTGGTCCACAATTACGTGTGCAATGTTGAATGATTGGTGACCAAGAGCACCACTGTCCTTTTCGTGGGCACGGTAAATAACCTTCACAGAATACCTGTTTATAAAAATTTCTATACTAAAACGGAAAATTCTGATGAAAAAAATTCAAAAGAACTCAACTTAATACACGGAAAGCATAGTAAAACTTAAGTAATTTTCTTATCCTTTTTTACAGTTGTAAACTAATGAGCTTAATACAAAACATGCCTTGAAAATTTTCAATCATCACGATGCATCTATAGATATTAAAAGTAAAGGATTGAGAGGTTCATATCAGTAAGACATCTTAGTAAAAGCAAATAATATTGAAAAATGATGGGTTGTTATCACTAGAATAAAAATTATGTAAACCAGTATAGATACCAGGAGTAATGTTATGTTTAGTTAGTTTAAGTAGCATTACGCTCTTCGAACTAGATGAGTCAGTTGCATCCATCTGCATTAATTCACAGATAATTTTAGTAATGCTGTCATGGAAATAAGTAGTATGCAATGTTGATGTTGCATTTGAAAAGGAAAAAAGAAAGCTCACAGCTGAATTAGATCGAAATATCTATGAAGTACTTCATGATCTGTGAACGTGAAGTGAATGACATCATGGAGACTAGATTGTTATGAATATGTATTGTGTGTTTGGAGAATATCTAAATTATTGATTTACGAGGATGCAGATTTTCAGATCTTTAGTAATCTTTGTCTTCATATTATGTTATCCAAATTTATCGAAAAGGGTAATTGTTCTAAGTTGTTTATTTTTCCTAGCAATTGTTAGTTGATTCAATAAACACTATTTTAATTACATTACGTTCGATACACTGAACGTTTAACGTTATCCATCACTTTACACTTTTTCTACGTGGACAGTTTAGTTTACTCGCAAAGAGCTTGAATGAAATATTAGATATACATGGAAAATCACTAAAGATAGAATCGAATAACAGTTAAATTTAAAGGAATAAGGTAATTTAATTCTTTCCACAGTTAGAAAGTATACAGTCAGTTGAATAAACCAATATTCTATTTAAGATTTTATGGAAGTAAATCCTATTCATTTTGTTCCTTATATAACTGATTTTTTTGAAAAAACAAACAAACTTCAATGACATTTGATAACTTTTACTCTATGGAGCGAAGTTCACAGTTAGTTACGCTTGTGGGCCAGGGTAATTTTACATTATTTTTCAAAAGAAACGGACACTATCCAGACTTTTACGTGACAACCCAAACAGTACAGCTCAATTCCGTTCCGCAAGAGAGACGGACACCGCTCAGGCTTAAACTTTATAACCCGAGCAGTACAGCCAAATCTCGCTTTACAGGAGAACCAGATACCATATAGGCTTTAGCGCTATAATCTGGATAGTACAGCTCAATCCTGTGTCGCAACCACACGGGTACCAAGCACCCTGATGGTATGAAATGGGTGACGTTAAAAGAGTGAACCGTTGGATTTTGACCATTGGCCTAACACTAACAGACTCTTTACATGAGCTACACTTGTCCTGAGTTGTATTCTGTGTAGGATAGTGAATGGATTCTAGTGTGCGGTTTTAATCTAATGTAAAAAAGTTCCCTAGTGATCCTTTTCAGTAGTCTTATATCTAATGTCAGTCTGCAACAAAAGATATCTTCAGTTAATATTTTGTTCTACGTGTGGATCAATGTTGTTAAAATTAACATGATACTGATTTGCAAAATACTATAACAGAATTTTAGAATATTAAATTTTGTCAGTATATTTAATTATAGTAACAACATTAAATTTTGTAGACAATAGCCTCTCCTGATCATATAGTGTATACTATATCACTTACAAAATTGACAACAGTTAGTTCATTTAGAATGAAATTGACATAATTGAGAAAAATGATTAATTACCTCTTGGTGGTCAGTTCCTATGCAGTATAATCCACCTTCTTGTGGTCTAGGATGATCACAGTGACGACGTCGAACACGTTTTCCTGTGCCACATGTAACAGAACATTCAGTGAATTCACTCCATTGACTCCAACCACCATTAATAGCTGAACATAGGCGACTTACAGGACAAGAGACTTTTTCAACTTCGTGTATTCTTTCGATAGATGCACAAGATTTTAAAATTGAATCTTTTACCTTAAATTTGTAACTATTACAATTAAAAGCTCCTGTAGAAAACCGGGAACGATGTTTTTCATGGAATCCACAAGTTGTTGTACATTTAGACCACGATGACCAATTGGTCCACCAAGGTTCACATTCACCACGTTGAAGAACTTTTACGCAGGAATCTGATTGCTTGATTAATAATAATACGAAAAAGTGTACTGTTAATATATTGGTAGGTGTAAAAGCAACTATATTAAGGGTATTACTGAAACAACTTATCATTGAGTGAAATTACACTAGTAATTCTTACAATTTTCAATGAATACGTACAAAATGTACTTCAGTAGTTATAAATCAACATGGACATCAAAGTAGGAGAAGGCTGTAAAGACACATTGTATTGTATGTTATTGGATATGGTAGAAACGACCAAATACATACGAAGCATTTAATAGTTGATACAAGTACTACATTATGATATGAATTTAGAATTCAACTACTGAATACATGTATATTTGTCTAGCCACTTCCACCATATTGGATGTGAGGCACTTGTCCATCGAAGACAATGAAGGATGGTTTTTCAGTAGCGCCAATTGATTGTAGTTGAACATGTACACCACTAGATTCCAGTTCAGCAGTCTGAAGGTTAAGCTCACACCGTGGGACCTAGGGATCTTGAGTACGAGAACCAGTTAGGTTGCATTCATATCCGTCGTTTATCAGTTCGTATTATTAATGCCAATTATTCGGTTTCAATCAAGTGACAACTTATTGTCTGAGTGCTTCACACAAACTTTTCTATTCCGTCATTTCGAACCATTTACTCCAATGTCTAATTCTTCTCACTATCAATAGTAATATAACTATTACGATTCTTTTGCTACTTCATATGTTACTTTCACATCTCTGAACTGATGTGGTATGTCAACATGAGACAACTTACATTTATGCTAGACTCCGTGTTGATTGTGAATATATATATAGTGAATATTGTAAACACTTATTTTGATACTTACCATAAAGTTACTGAGCAGTAATTTATTTAAAAGTGTCTGATAAAATATCCTTATCTCTCTGAATCTGGATTAAGTGAATGAAATGCTAAAAATAGGATCCGATTAGGTGTATCGTGTGTATTAATTCCCTAAATATCTTTTATTAGAGAACGTCTTGGATAAATCTTAAACTCCACACATAGCTCCTTTAGGTCTACTGCCGGTCCCAAGCTCACACAAAGGAGGAGAGTTGGTCGTGGACTCGACAACCTCACCCTGTAGAAAACAACCTTTCTAAAAGACGCTAACCAGACTAAATAAATTGAACTATTGAAACTCTATCCTGGGAGTTAAGGAAGGATTGTAACACCCCATGATGAAAGCCGAAATTATTCGGAATTCACGAGGCCGATTCCCCTTCTAACAATCACAGCAGCAACAGATATAGGTGCACGGAACGTCCAAACAATGTGAGAGACCGGGAGGACCATTCAAATAGCTGTAGAAATAGGGAGTTAAAAGTTGGCGGTTCTCGGAATCAGCAAACGAAACCCATTGGACCCAAGCTGGATAGTAAAGTTTAGGTACAGGAGAAATGCTGATGTACTCCGGTCACGAAGAGAACAATGCTCGACACACTCAGGGAGTTGCTCTAATGTTGTACAAAGAAGCACGTGAAGCATTTATAGGAAGAGAATATCGTGGATCCAGGATCATCAAAGCATCATTCAGAGGAAAAAGGAGGGAATCACGATGAATGTTATCCAATGTTATGCACCCACGAACGATAGCAATGAAGACGATAAAGATCAATTTTACGATAGGCTGTAATCGATCATAATGAAGTGCACAGCAAAGGACCTGAAAATTCTGATGGGAGACCTAAACACTAAAGTTGGAATGGACAACAACGTTTATGAATGTATCATAGGACGACATGGACTGGGAGAGAGAAACGAAAATGGGGAGAGATTTGAAAATCCATGTGCATTCAACTAAATGGTTATAGGCGGCAAAATATTCCCACACAAACGCATACACAAGGCTACGTGAGTCTCACCTGATAACACCACGGAGAACCAGATAGATCATATTTGTATCAATAGAAAATTCAGAAGGACAATGGAAGACGTGAGAACCAGGAGAGGAGCTGACTTAGCTTCAGATCACCACCTGGTTGTGGCCAAGATGAAACTGAATGTAAAGAAACACTGGACAACTGGGAAAGCAACAGTACAAACGTTCAATATAGCCTTCTTTTGAGATACTAACAACTCGCAACAACGGGTTCCAAACGTTGCAGGATCTACTGAAAGAAGAAACTACGATGGAGGACTATCAGAGAGAGAGAGATCAAAGAAGCACGAACTTCAACGCGTCGAACGCTTGGACAAGATTCAACAAAGGGAGAACACGAAGACATCATCTAACAACAGCACAACAAGAGCAGAGAGATTCAAGACACAAGTTGAATACACTGAAGCAAACAAGCAGGTGAAGAGGAGCATCAGGGCCGACAAGCAGAAATATGTGGGAGACCTAGCAACGACAGTGGAGAAAGCTGCAAGAGAAGGAACTATGAAACAGCTATATGACACAACGAAGAAACTGACAGAGTAATATGGTAAACCAGAGAGACCGGTCAAGGACAAAGAAGGTAAGACAATCACCGAGATTCAAAACAAAGGATTAGATGGGTAAAACACTTTCAGGAACTCTTGAACAGGCTAGCTCCAATGAACTCGCCTGACATCAAAGCAGCACACACAGACATGCCTATAGATTTCACTCCATCAACGATCGAAGAAACCGGGATGGCCATTAGACAAGTGAAGAGTGGGAAAGCAGCACAACTTGATAATATACCGGCCAAAGCTCTAAAGTCAGATATGGAAGTAACTGCAAACATGCTCCATGTTCTATTCGGGAAGATTTGGGAGGAAGAACAAGTGCCACTGACAAACTGGAATGCAGAACACCTCAGCAAGATAACAAAGAAGGAAGATCTGAGCAAATGTGAGAACTACAGAGAAATCACACTACTGTCAGTACCGGGAATGGTTTTCAACAGTGTGTTGCTGAACTGGATGGAGGATTCAGCAAACATCCAACTTCGAGATCAACAGACCGGATCCCGTAAGGATCTGTCTTGCACAGAGCAAATCGCGACACTACGGATCATCGTTGAACAATCAGTTGAGTGAAACTCGTCACTATATATCAACTTCATTGACTATGAGAAAGCATTTGATAGTGTGGACAGGAGAACATTATGGAAACTTCCTTGACATTATGGTGTACCTGAAACGGTAGTCAACATCATTCGGAATTCATACAACTGAATACGGTGCAAAGTGGTGCATGGAGGACAGCTGACAGATGCATTCCAAGCGAGAACCGGATTCAGAAGAGGCTGCTTACTCTTCCCCTATCTCTTTCATCTGGTGATTGACCGGATTATGAAGACCTCGGCATCGGAAAGGGAGCACGGAATACAATGGACAGCTCGGAATCAATCAGAAGATTTCTACTTCGTAGATGACCTGGCCCTTCTATCCCATACACACAAACAAGTGCAGATGAAGACAACTAGTTTAGCAGCAGCCTCTGTATCAATAGGCCTCAATATACACAAAGGAAAAAGTAAGATCCTCGAATACAATATATATATATATATATATATATATATATATATATATATATATATATATATATATATATATATATAACCAACATTTATTACTTACAGTATGATTTTCAAGTTTAGCACATAGACTAGCACTTGTACAATTTCCACCGATGCATTTATAACGTGTTGCAATGTTAGCAGTACATTTTGTTCCTATACCAGGACAACGCCATGGGCCCCATTCTGATTTACTGCCACATTCCTGTGATAAATAATTCAAAGTATTTCCTTCTCGATAAATTAGTATAATAATCAATCCATAAATTAAAATAATAATTTTCAAAAGCATTTTTTTAAAAATCAAGTTGATTTGTATTCTTTAAAATTATTCTAACGAAACATGGGATATTTCAATGTTGATATATATATCGACTCATTTTTAAATTTGAAATAATCAATAAGTCAATAATATATGTAAAACTGTGAACTTTGATTCAGATTAGATATCTATGAATACTTATGCACAAATACATTTAATGGTAAAGGAAAATTTTTGTTAAAATATACATTTCAAAGTTTATTTTAACTAAGAGGAAATGAAGTATTATCAAATTAACATGTTCAACATCACTTCGAATAATTCACTTATTCATGTCAGCTAACTAACAATTAAGTTTAAGTAAGTTATGTTGTTCTGATATGTAACCTAACAGAAAGATGTACATCATATGATTACATAGAAGGTTTATCATTATCCAAGCATGTAAATATATATATTGTTATTAATATTACTATTACCATGTCACTAAGCTGACAATCAGTAAGTAAGAATTCCTACTCTCTTTGGTACTTGATGTGAAACCACTTCCCTGGACTATTATCGGGAAGTAGCTTTATTTATACAGCTGAGTAGATTTGAAGTCTAACTCCTAATAATAATAAAAAATTTATCTAATTTTATAGTAGTTTATATAAAATCAATTCATAATGGAATTATGTTTTTGACATAATTCCAAGTAATTGCTTCTAAAATTTAAAAAGATCTTTATTTCGAGACTTTATCTTTTTGATTTAAGTGCAAGTTATCAGATTAAGCCTATATTAATATTAATAAGTTGCACGGGAATAATTACTAATGCAATTGAAATCTGAATTTATCTAATGAAATTATTAGTAGGTAGGTTTGAAATAAATGAATGTAGATTTAATTTTCCAATAATTTGCTTTATAAGAACATAGTGAATTCATTTTTATCGTATAGTGGCTAACTTGATAAACATAAACGGTGATTTCAGATCACTGCAACAAAAGACTATAGTTATTTAAAAATATTGAATTAAATTATTCGAATTAGACTAAATATTTCTAACGTAGATTCTATGTTTATATAACAAATCGGGAATAAATGAAAGATATTATCTACGTCGATTTGGTCATGATTCTACAGATACTGAATGACATTCAAAACTTTTTGGAATGCTCAAAGAAACTTAAATTCTTCTTAGGATTCAAAACTTTGTCATTTAGGTACAAAGTCTTTACCACTACGTCATTCTGGTCTTGTGTGACATATTGTTCAGCTAACATACGGTGATTACTCACCAAATTAAAGCCAGTTTCATAAGCTGATGGAATTTTGTTAATACCAAGGGTTGGAAAACAAACTATTTAATATTACCAGGTAATTAATTATTAAACAGAAGACAGTTGGATTTTGTTTTCTAGTTAATATCACTTAGGCAACACTAAAAATCAAAACATGATTTGTTGAAGCAGGTCGCTTATTTATCACTTTTTTCAGTAGGTGGTCAGACGCATTCAAATCTATTCCGCTGTTTTGATTCACTTAAAACCTGATTTTTCTTTGAATCATTGGTATAAATATGATGATACGGAAACTGAAATTTTCCTGTTGTAGTTTTGTGAAGACTTTTTGAGAATAATTTTCTCAAATACTCCAATGTCAGAATAGTCTGAGAACAGTTTGATTGAAACAATATTTTAAAGTTTACATTACGGTTCAACAATAGTCAAACAACCCCTGAAAACTAGTAAGCACTTGACATCTGTTTCGTCCTAGTGTGAGGCTCTTCAGGAGCGGAAAGCGTTGAACTCCTGGGAAAATGAGCTGATACCCAACATTTGCACGTTTTACTTCAGTCGACTTACGGAAATAAGATTACCAGAACGAGGGTAGATCGTACTTCGGAAATATCGCCGATTGATTGAAACTGAGAGTGTAAAATATTGAATTCTTTCTAGGTGGTCTCAAAGTAACTAGCTGGATATAGGGCTTGAATGTTTCCGACCTTGGTAAGATAATGCATCCATGCTGTTGAAGAATTGCATACTTGGGCAAAACGACCGTTGCGTGATCATTGACGTTTAGTTTTTATTTTTCTGTAATCAGTTACTGGAATAAATTGTGTTTCAATGATACAGTATTGCTTGCGAAAACTGGTACTAAAAGCAAGAGAAACACTATGACTCGCAGATATAAGGAAGAGGATAAAATCTTGATGGCAGACTAAACTTTTATTCATCCTACAAAGTACGACAAGTGTTCTAATTAAATACATCATTTTATGTATGGATTTTACTCTCATCATTGTCGTATATCATTTTATGACAGATAGAGATGTTCAAAGACAGAAAAATAATTTTTTCAGGGTTGGGATTTGTGGAGATTGTTGAATGCTAGTGAGATCAGGAACCAACTCATGTTGGATAAACTATTAAAACCAGAAGAGACTGACTTAATACTTTGTTCTAGCATAGGATTCCTGAGCAGTGGACCTCCGCAACCCCTCCGTTGGTTGAAATTACGATCCTCAGGTTTCTCAGTAAACACTTAACCTTGAGATCACCAAAACGTCACCCGATAGTGTGCGGATTCAACGTATGTGATATTCTACTGTCTTCGGTGGGTAGCTCTTACGTCTAACACAGTTAAACATCTCTAGTCAGAACTTTTCATCAGAAATCCTGGAACCACCTGTGGAAATAAATCACAAGTAAAGACATGATAAAATTCAGTATAGTGATTTTTAAAGATTCCCTAGTGTTCCCTGGTATCCAACGATTATTTTACTTAAGTCGGCTTGTATTTCCAATAAAATAATTCTTTATCATTTTGTAACATGATACTTATCGGACAGCCGATGAACAACTGATTTTGTGGTCTGTAATCATAGGGATTTATTAATTATACATAAATACATTCATTATGCTTCTGCGTCTCCCTCCTGTATACTTACCATACCTTAAATGTACAAGTTGAATGGTAATCTTGTATGGTGACCTTTTTTATGACAAAAACATTTATAAGGCAAAACGAGAAGAACATTAAAAATGAAAGGGAAAGAGAAGAAGCGACGGGAGAAAGCAAGTGAAAAGAGATTAAACAGATAAACAAGTAAACACGGAAAAAATGTAAAAAAAGCATCCCAACTTGTAAGTTAATATGTATATAGATTGTTATCAATTAATGTTTAAATAATTAATATTTATCTATGATATTACAATTGTCAATCAAATGAAAATATGATGGTCAATTGCCGGTTTAATGCTTATTGTATGAAAGTCGTAGATAATGGTGAACCTTTTAAGATAATGCTAAAATACTGTGAATTTGGAATTTTGCTTTTCGATTACTTTTAAATTTTTTACGCAAAGATTCATTATGAAAATGGAGAACCAACTTTGTTTTTACGATAACTTTGTATATATGAATATCTTTCTTGACATATTAAAATTTTTATAGAGAATCAGCTGTGTAAAAAATAGTATTATTCTCGGCATAAAGTTCCTGTTATATCTGAATAGATGAATAAAAATAGAAACAAATTTAAGTTCATTTGGTGTTTGTGCTAACCAGTCTCTAAGATTTTTGAGAGATATACAGAACGCCAGTGAAACAACCTAAAAATGAAACAAAGTATCATGCTGAAAGTTCTTTAAGGAGAAGAAAAGGCATTATCATGTAAGGTAGGTAGTGGTTGAAGATGGTTGACAAGAAACCACGAACATAAGTTTCGGCATTTGACACTCGTCAGCAAGGTGTAACTGCAATCCTGAAGGAACTTATTTTCTCTGACAAATTCAATCTAGTGTCACGTAGCTTTGCAGTCAGAGAAATTACCAATGAGCTATTCGGGTCTCGACTGACTTCCTACGGGATTTTGATGCATTTACAACTGCAAAATCTCCCCGAAATTCGCTTTTGTTACTTTTGATTTAGTTAAACATGATTTCCTTGGTCTTTTCTAGGAACTAGACTTCATGCAGATTGTGAAAGGGCCTTTGTTGACTGAACCAAGTCACAACATCAGTAGTTCATGAAATTACGAACCTCTTGTTATGGTCTTGTAGGGAAAAACAGTCTTCCCATTAGGCAATGAAGCACAACCGTAATGTGTAATCAGAGAGATTGGGTGGTGCAACTCAAGATCAGTAACATTAATTCGGATGTATTCATTCCTAACCTTCTAGCAGTACTCTACAACTTTTACATCCTACTTTAAATCATGTTTTCTCTTCTTCCAACATGCAAATCTACTAAATTGTTAGAATATTTTTCATTGATTATATTTCCCTCACTTTTTGTCTTTCACAAACGTGAGCGTAGAAATAAATGAACATTTACGATGAGTCTCATATTGTTTACCATTCTATGTCTGATAATATCTTTTGAAGAATCATAATAAAAATGAACGACCAACTAATGGAGTTGCTTTTTAATTTCATATTAGTGGTTATTAAAAAAAACTGAAATTATGTTTCTTAACATCTTTATAAATGTACAAATAATTTAGAGTTGAAACAACGAACGATATGAGACGGTGACAAGATTATTGAACATCCTAAATTCTGTCAATTTACATGAATGTTTTAAACAAAGTGATTGTGAGAACCATTTATTGGCACGAAAGGTGTTAGAAAAGTGGTAAAATGGACGCACTCTAAATCTTTTCAAGCTATGATGGACTCCATCACCATATTGCCTAGATTTACATCTGTATTTGATACACAAATACAGGCTAATCGATTAGTTTATTTTTGAAAATCTAAGAAAAAACAATGAGAAATTTCAATTCATATTTACAACTTGTATTTATATTCCTAAATTTCAAGCCAGACACCAGATTAAGTAAGTATTTCTTACTTTCATGAAATTACAAAAAGTGTGAAGAGAAATTAATTACTTTGAAATGCATTTTCACTCGCTATATATCCGGTATGTAGAACAATCAACTTTTTCATTAAACTGTCTTTTCAGGTGTGTTATTTTTGGAAGATAAATTTTTTTATTTTAAAGAAAAACGTATTTCTGACATTTTGACGTTGTACATTAAATACACTTT